ATTTCTGTAGGTCTTTAGCTGACACTGTGGGATTCTTCATTACCTCATGCAGCATTCTGCGCTGTGCCCTTGCAGTCATTTTTACAGGACAACCACGCCTAGGGAGAGTAGCAACAGTGCTAAACTTTCTCCATTTGTAGACAGTCTGTCTTACCGTGGACACATGAACATCAAGGCTTTTGGAGATACTTTTGTAACCCTTTCCAGCTTCATGCAAGTCAACAATTCTTGATCGTAGGTCTTCTGAGAGCTCTTTTCTGCGAGGCATGGTTCACATCAGACAGTGCTTCTTGAAACCAGTAAACCCAAAACAGGTGTGTGTTTTTTAAGGGCAGGACAGCTGTCAGCAACACATCCAATATCATCTCACTGATTGGAGTCAAGGTTGGCTCATTCCTGGCTCCAATTAGCTCTGGGAGAAGTCATTAAGCTAGGGCCTCACATACTTTTTCCTCCCTGCACTGTGAATGTTTACATGTTATGTGCAATTAAACCATGGCAACATCTAATGTTTGTGTAGTATTATGTTCAGCAGACTGTGTTCTTCTATTGTTGTGACTTAGATGACGTTCAGAGCAAATTTTATGCCCAATTCATGCAAACTCCACGTAATCCCAAGGGGTTCACATACTTTTTCTTGCAACTGTAGCTCACAGAGTTCCCCAAGAAGTGTATTCATTTTTTCTCTTCTTTCCCTCTTCTTGTTTGCTCCTATCGCTATCAGGATTCCTCTAATATACACCTTATGAGCCTCCCACACCGTTGCTACAGACACTTCCCCTGAATCATTTTCTTCAAAGAATTGATCTATTTCTTTTTAAATTTTTTGATCCGTTCCCCATAATAATTGCATTGCGACAGGAGAATGGTCCGATATTGACATCACTTCTATTTTTCCTTTAACTAAATACTCAAGGGAGTCGATGTTCTAGCAATATATAATCCAATCTTGAACACTTCTCATGTGCATGGAAGTAAAACGTATAATCTCTGTCCTTCATATGCTTAATTCTCCATATATCTACAAGTTGGCATTGATATATAATTTTTTTTTCAAGGATCTCAAAGATCTACTTTCCTCTTTCTGCACAGGAGACATCATGTCTATTTGAGGATCCATTACAGAGATTGAAATCTCCTGCCACAATTAATTAACTGCCTTTTTTGAAATCCAGTAATTTTTTCAGAGTATCTTTTAGGTATAGCTCCGGTTTTGTATTAGGGCAAGAAATATTTGCTAATGTACAATCTATTTCTTGTAGTTTTCCCTTCAGAAACCGAAATCTCCCTTCAGGATCTACCAACCTGTCTTCCAACTTAAACCTTATATTTTTCGCAAAACCTATTGCCACTCCTTTAGCTCTTCTAATTGGGGAATCTGCATAAAACCACAATGGATAGTATCTGGAATTTAATTTCACATTTGTTTCTTGCCCCAAATGTGTCTCCTGTAAAAAAAAAAAAAAAATAAAAAAAAACCACTGACGACAATCTATGCTAAATCTCTTTAAATATCCTAAATCTCTTCCCAGGGCTATTTAATCCATTAACATTATAAGTCATGAAGTGAATTTCTTCCATTCTTCCCTTTTTCCTCTTATCCTTTTCCTCCATCCCCACTCTCCTCCTCTCTTGTCAATAACTTCCCCTTCTTTCTCTAAAACGTCTCCAAACTAATGTATCTCCTACTATATTGCAGAGTCTTAACCTACCTACCCCCTCCCCTATCCCCCCCCCCCAACCCCCTTTAAACCTATAATTTGCCCCTCCCCCTTTAAGGTCATCTATTGGTCTATGAATCATTTGTGGACTTGTTCCACCCTAGATTCAACCTGAGGTGGGGCTCTGGCCATGTGTATTATCCCCCCCCCCCCCCCCCACACTTCCCACCGAGTTCAAAGTGGAGGGAGTGAGAAAAAGAGTGAGTATGGCGAGTCCCCTTCCATTTCTCCTTCCTCTCTCACTTCCCTCTCTACTCTATCCCCACTTTATGAAACCTGCCACCTATCTTTTTCCAGCTGACTTATCTCCTCATGACTTTCCTCCCAATCTGGAATATTTATTCTCTGCAATTTAAGTCTCTCACAAAAGTCTCTCGAATCTTCAGGAAACCTCAGTCCTTGACGATCGACCATTCTTCCATCCGATCAGACAAGCGGGAAATCCCCATCTATATTAAACATTCTGCTTTCTCATTTGTTCTAGTAGTGGTTTTAAAGTTCAATGTTTCTGCTGCAAGGTCAGCAAAGATCTGGATGTTTACTTCCGCATATTTTATTATTGCTCTTCCTTTTAACTGTTCCATATTTCCTCTTTATCTCGGTAATAATGAAATTGTACAATTTGTGTCTCTCAGGTTTCTCTTTTTTCCCTCCTTTTGTTGGACCCTTCCTATTCTATAAACACCATCAAGTTCAAACGGGTCTGTTGGAATTCTTTCTAATATTATATCAAACATTTTCCTTATTATTTCCTGCAAATCTTCTCCTTGGGGGATCTCAGGGAGACCTCATATCCGTAAATTGCATTTTCTGTCCCTATTTTCCTGATCTTCCAATTTATATATAGTAGATTGTTCTTTTCTCATATACATTAACTTTTTTTCCATAACATGTATGTCGTGAGCATGTTTGTCTAATTTTCCCTCCGTCTCTTCCACTCTTGACAATATCTGCCCCAGATCTTTATGTAGTTTCACCATTCCTTGTTTTATAGATTTTTCTAATTCTTTAAACATGTCCGCTATTTCTATTTTTGTGGGCAATTGTGATCTCTTCTCTGGTTCTTCTGTATCTTCCCGTACCCTTGTTCTTTCTATATCCATGTCTTCCATGTTTTGGCTAATGTGTGCCATTCCCCGGGATAGTCTAGAACTTTCTCCACTACTGTTCCATCTCACCACTGCCATTGATTGCTGTTTGTCTCTCAGGGGTACTTTTTCCCTGTGGAGGTATATATTTTTTAATTGAACTTGTTTGAGAGACTCTTGAGCATCCTCCCTTTGTGCTGTTTTATTCATTTTATTATTATATTTCTCTCTCTCTCTCTATGTTTCCTCTTCTCCCCCTCTCCAATGCTCAGTCCTTTGAATCTTTTCTCTTCTTATCCCTTTTCCTCTCTCTTTTTCTTTTCTTCTGTCCCCCACTTTCACCTGTAAATCCTCTGTCTGATTCTAATCCCTCTTAAGGGCTTCTCTTTCTTAATTTTTAACCTCTTCTCACTTCTTCTCTTTTTGATGGGCCCTCCTGGGTGCAATACTCCCCACTATCCCCCCCCCAGATTACTTTTCGCATTCACTTCAGCAAAGATTTAATATACATCAACACAGTACATTTTATTTCTCCTGCTGCTCTCACTCACCCTCTTAGCTCATTTTTCTTCCATTCTGATTGAGGCGGCTTTCCAGATTTTTCCTTCCTTTTTTTTCTTCTTTCTTCACTTCTTTCTTTTATTTTCTTTTTTGGGGTTGGTTGCTGGCCTCAGTATTCTCTCCGAGGTAACAGGTGTATTCGGGGGGGGGGGTGGGGGGAACTCTCCATTATATTCTAAGCCTATGACTCAGCTGACCGAATTTGCAAAGAATGTACTTGGGAGTCATGAAAGACAGGAGCCGGGACTCCCTTTACTCCTGCACGCCGGCTGGCTTCTCTTCTCCCAGCACTCCTCTGCGCCAGGCCACGTGACTGCTCGGCATCCTCACAGCTCTTGTCCCCTCACAGGTATCTCCACTCTCCCTCACCACTCGGTTCTCCAGGGCAGACTTGCGGGCAGGCTCCAGGGGCTCTCCTCTCTCCTAGGGGACCGCTCTCACATAGGTGCCATCAGCTGCGCCTAGAGGTGTTTGGCTTTTTTTTTTTTTTTTTTGTAACCTGCCTCTAAACTCCCCTGTATGTTAGCCTATGTGTCCATGCACACATAGACCTTAGCAGTGTTTAGTAGCAGGAGAGTTTAGAGGCAGGAAAAAAAAAAACCCCACTACCAGTGCATCCAGGAGCAGCAAAGTTTTGGAAGAAAAAATGTTTGACGAGTGTAAACACATCTAACCGCTCGTTACCGTTAAGTGCATTTTAGTGTTTGAGTGTTAATTTATTTCAATGGGCAGAATAAATTATTTATTCTGGGCAATGAAATGAATTAACGCCCAAACGCTTGCCGCGGATAAACGTACCTAAACACGTTACACACAAGCCAAAACGCTGCTACCAGGAGGAAGGCTTCTAGGAAAGTTTAAAAAAAAAAAAAAAAGTCCTGTGTGAGGCCTAAAGCTGAACTTCAGGATAAATTAAACAGTACCTAAATACAAGAGACATGTATTCCTACTTGAGTCTTGGTGTGCCTTGTGTATGTCTTCCAGATTTTGGGCAGTACTCCAGCATGAAAGTGTGTGTGTCGTAATAAAGACCAGTCACTCTAGTCTAGTGCAGGCTGACTGGTTCTGTTTCCGCCCCTTTCTGTAGTTTTCTGCAGGCAGTCTGTAGTGGGTGAGGCTGACTGGTCCCTCCTACATCTCATCTCTGTGCACGATCCATGTACAGCACAATGATAATGTCACTGCTACTCTTACAAGGTAATATGTGGGCTTGCGAAGGGATTAGGCATGCACAAAGTGGGCTTCAATCTTTTTATGTCTAATGCGCATTATAGTTAAATGAAATTTTATTGTACTGAGTTCAGCTTTAATGTGAAGATGTGTTTTTGGAATGCAATAATGATTTGCACTTTTCCTCAATGTTCCCTACTGCATTATTTTTATATATACATACAGTGCTTTGATGTAAACTTTGACATTCAGGTGATATTTGTGACTCCTCTATTAAACCTACTGAAACTGTCTTCCTTGAGCAGTGCTTTGTGTGACAGTCATATATCATGTAACTTTTGATATGTTCTATGTCCAGTATGTGTTGTAGCTCTGACATAGCTGTCCTGTTGGAAACATGTATGCATTCATTGCTTTTATCTGACCTATAGCAAACACTATATTGTGCTTTTGTCTTTAGGAGCTTATAAAAGTTAACGTGACAACACCGTATGTCAACCTGATTGAACAGGTGAGTGTTTGTGTTTTTTTTTTTTTTTCCTAGCAAAGTTACTGAGCATTAGTACTGAAAAATATGAATCAATACATTGTCTGCATGCAAAATGTATATATGGGAATTATGTGATGAAACCAGAGCTGTTTTTAGAACCTCTGTTACCACTGGGAAAGCCAATTGTTATTACTTTTGGAAAGAGTGGGAAAAAGTTAAAACCCTTGTTGGGTTTATATTGCTATATCCATAATAATTGTGGAGAATTTTCACCCATGTGACTCACATACCTGTTTGGTCACCTGAAAGTGAAGTTCTTTTTGGGAATCCTGACCAGGGGTTGTGTCTACCCTTCTTCTTTTTTTCTTTTTTTTCTTTTTTTTATCTATCCATTGTTCTTGATAATGCAGTTTTTGGTCATTTTGAAATTTTAGAGTGGAGAAAGCTGAGGTCTGCATTGTATTCCTGGTACATTCGGGTAATCTTACATTCAGTTTTGTCACCAGGGCATAAAGTGAGATGATCTAAAAATCCCCAAAATGGAAGTATATATACACATCAAAAACATTACATGATTACCTTTGGGGAATAAAGAAGTATTTTTTCCCCCTCCCCACTGCAGCGTGTGTGTATGTTTTTTTTTTTTTCTATTGATTGAACTAGGTGGTCTTATTCAAACTATGTAATTTTATTAAGTATGTTTTATTTTAGCTGACTTGAAATGTACTTTTTTATTTTTGAATCTTACCTTTATAAATAAAGAAAAAGCAAGCAAAACCATGATCTGTTCTCTTTGAAGATGGCAGCAGCAAGAGCCAAGGGCTCCCGCTGCTGCCTCTGTGCCCTGAGAGATGAGGGAGGGGAGAATGTTACTACAGACAGGCACAGCGCTGGATCTAGAGAATAAGTGTTTTGCATTTTGCAGGGAATGCATTAAGGTAAAACATGTCTTGACTTTGGAACCACTTTTAGAGTAACATTAGAGCTGCCAGGCAATCAGCATTTTTATAAATAAACTTCAGCAATGGCAGCCACTGTGTTACGTTCAGTACAGGTTTTCAGCCTGTTGCTTTAATTGGTGTGTTATATATTTTCTTACTAACTAAAAATTAGCATACATATTAGAATAAATCAGCAATTCATTTTGTTGATTTAAATTAATAATCAGAAATAAAGTTTCCTGAAAAATACAGTGCAAAGCAATTTTTCTAGAAAAATTTTTGTTGTTGACAGTTTATAATAATATAATGGCTTACGTATAATCACTAAATGCCATCACAGTCATTTATTTTTTTTTCTCTCTTCTTTTGCCTAAAAGATTTCCCCAGGATCTTGATTTCACTTTGTGTCCATTGTATAGGTTTTTTCCACTTCCAGACTCTTGTATTGTTATATTAAAGCCTTTTTTTTTTTCTGCACGTAAAATTAATTAGCATGCCATAATTATTTGTTACTATATTTTACTTCTTAATAATGATCAATGGTGGAATAGATCTTCTGAAACATAATTAGTATAGCTCATAGGAGTATGCATAGTGTGATTTATAGAAGGTATATGCACAAGCATAAGGGTACCTCTTCTTCCTTCCTTTTTTTTTTTTTTTTTTTTTTCCGTACTTAAATTTTTTTTTTTTTTTTGTATATTCTCAGATCTGTTTCCTGAGGATAGCCTCGCTCTATTTCCTGTTTAACCTGAGCTGATCCAAGCTAATAGTCTAAGACCATTCTACTCTTCCTGAAGTTTGAGTCTTTGGCTTCATATACCTAAATCCATTAGTTAAATAATGAATCTTCCTTTTAAATCATCAGACTTTAGGGAAAGGAGGAAGTTGAGTGGGATTAAGGAACAATGGCATTAATGAAAATCATTCTAATTTAATATTGGTTAATAATTTACAATGTACCCTCCATGGATTAGTTTCAATAGCATACCACACTGTTATTCATTAAACTTGGACCGATTATTTAGGTAGAAACAACCCCTGGTGGGGATTCCCAAAGAGCATTATTGAATGAAACGAAGATCATCCCACCAACGTTCTATAATATTGCTGGCAACGTACCCCATCTGAATTGTATATAGGTCATGTTATGGTGATTAGACATCTGTCTAATACTTTAGAGATGTTTTTAAATTTGGCTCTTATTTCAATATTTGGTTTATTTTTCAAAACATATATTTGCATTTGAAGATTAATATTTTTCTGCATGAAAATAAATCAATATGTTTTCTTCCTGGAATTACTGGCATTATTAATAAAAAGGTATTTTATTGTTAAAATGGACCTAAAGCCAATTATTAGCTGCCACCTCAACTAGAGTGCTGAAATACCTCCCTGACGCCTGGGGCCTCCCTCTGGAGGCCAGTGGGATTTTGCTTTGGTGGATAGTCTGGCTGGTTCAGCTGAATGGTCTGCCTCACACAAAGCGGTGACAAAGATGTGGAAGTAAAGAAAGCAGGCCAGTCTGCCATGGCAGACAGGTAAGTAGTTATGTGCTCTAGCTGAGATATACTGTCACTGGAGGCTGCCATTGCTCACTTCAAGATGTGGTTGTCCTAGTTGTGTCTGCATCCTAGTGGGATGCCTTTTAATGTGCACGTGACTTAAAAAGGTGAAGATTTGATATGTTATGGGGAACATCTAGAAATATTTAGTGCGTCTAATCGGTACCCTAAAAAGCGTACCTTTTTGTCATGAATCTTTACAACTTTATTGTCTTTACAACTTTATTAAAAACTTTTTTCACATTAGTACGTGTTCCCCAAGGCAATGCACAACACCACCCCCATGCGCTCCTTTTTTTTTTTTCCCGACACCCCTTGCCTTCTTACCTTCAAAAAAAAAAATTGACAGATTAGGGCTCCCATTGATTTCAGTGGGGTTCTTGTTCAGTATCCAAACTTCTTTGAAATGTGCAGGTCCCTGCTCCGAACTGCCTTTTCACATCCCAAATATCTGGCTTATTTTGACTTTGTGCCAGTGTGTGACCGATTACGAATTTTTATTTACTGCCTTTCTATTTTGAGTTGGATGGAGGAATCCCTATGCTGGGACATTGTATTCTGACAGCAGCACCCATCACTGTAAGATTACACTAGTCAATGGCTGCAGCCGCTGATTGTCCAAAATTTTCTGACATATCCTTTTGTTAAATGTGATATCCCATGAAGTATCCCTTTATTTTTTTTAAATAAAAGAGGTAAGATATATATTTTTTTTGGGGGGGGGGATTTACTGGGGGAAAAAGACTGGAGTAGCCAAAATCTGGAATAACTGTGCAAAGCAAACAGTCAGCTACTAGCTTTAATTTTCAAAGCTTAACTAAACAAGCTGAAGATAGAATCTGGTTGCTTTGCACAGCTGCTCCTAGTTCTTAGCTCTGTGCAAGCTCTGACCAGGCTGATTGGCAGCTTACACAGTGTTTGTTTTTTTTTTTGTTTTTTTTAGGTTTTTTGTTTTTACCGGTAAACAAGGCGATAGAAGAGTAAATTTATGTATGTGTCTCCAGATCACTCAGAACTCCTCCAGCTAGTCCCACTCCTGCTCAAATTTATGTGCCCCCACTTTAGAGAATTTTCTCTTTTTTTTTTTTTTTTTTTTTTTGGATAATCTTTATTACTACATTTCAAAGTATACAGTATGCATATAGGAACATCAAGCAAAATGAGGAGTTTGTAAATCCCTTGAAGACAAGCAGGACATTGTCAAAAAAATAAAGTATGCAAACATAGTATGAAAATATCTTGAAAACATGTGATTGGTTATCAGCGACATACATGTACATTGTTCCACAAACCACCTCCTCCCCATTAGGGGATATATTTTTGTAACCAAAAAATGAGAGTGAGAAAAAGAATAATAAAACCAGAAAACATGAGTGGAGTGTTTTTTAATCTGATTCTTATTTTCTCTTCTTATTATTATTTTTGCTTTTGTGACATAAAGGTGGCTTTTAACATCAGCTATGATCGAGGACAGATTCATCTGAATGGATTTCCCTTGAGTAAAGGTGTTTCAAGAATATCCTGTAAAATGGACAAAAGTAAGAAATGTGTTTAGTTAATCCTGGCATAAGGGGATTGTGACTGCATGTTGTGTGCATCGCGGTAACATGGGGAAAAAAAAGAGTGAAGTCATTATGTATTTACCTTATTTAAAAGATTCAAGGTTAGATAGTTATCTGCTTTTAATCTTTTCATTGACTGGTGATTCAATTTAGTGCCTATGTTCCAAAAATCAGATGCTTTCATTTAGCCAGATTATATAGTGGTGAAAGGTTAGAAATGGTTGAGTATGATTGCTGTTTGGGGCCTACCAGTGGAAATTTCTACTCTCTTCCGGTCTTGATGGCTGGATTTTCACCAGGTCCAGGAAAGAATGGGAAATCCTCTGATAGGGACACAACAGCAGTAAAATCTTATTTGTACAGTGCAGAATGCATCAAAGTATTCCTGGGATCCTGGGAATTATAGGCTTGTACCTTCAGGTGATTAGACACTGGCAAAGTTTTTGAGAACATGTTGCCTGGGCTAACTCTACCGCACTCCATGAGTCCTTAGTTTTTTGCTAGAATCCTAATGTCACCTCTTCTCCTTTTTGAGGAGAAATAACTTTTAGCTTAAATAGTTTATTATATTGTTTTATCCTCAGATTCTTTAACGCTTCAATCATCTCCTTCCCTGCTTTCTAATGCCACAGATAAAAGCAGTGCACCAAGATCTGCACAATCTCGGTAACATCTCGAGGCACTGGATCCTGCACAGGCTCTCACCTTGCCACTTAGTACAACACTTTGTAGTTATCCACAGGACTTTATATACAGTCCATTGTCATGGACAGGTAAGGCAGGGTCACCTTGTGTTTCTGACCTTTACTGTAAAAACAGGGCTATTGATTGGCGTGTACTTTCTTTACAGTGTAAACCTTTTAAACTTGGAACTAAAATCCTACCACTTAGCCTCAGGTGGATGAAACCATTAGTCCCAAAACTTGCCATCACTTCAACCTAGAGCCGTTATAAGGTACTCAGGCGTTTCCTCCCACCCTTTCGCCATAAGCATTCATTACAGGATCACCTAAAGCTGGGTTGCTGCATACTCCTGGAGATGTATTTCAAGGCCGTGCCTTAATGGAGCAATTAAAGCAATTCCCTTCTGCTCTGCTCTCTTGTGTAGATGCTCTAGAACAGAGGTTGTCAACTTATGGGCTAAAGGGGGCCTCAAATGTGGCCACTGACATAAGCAAATGGCCTCACAAAATGTTCAATATATGTAGAGCTTGAGAGGACTGTCAGACCTAATAGAGAAAATAAGGGTCAGAGTGTGTGAACATGCTACATGTTATGGCTGGATGCTACAGAAGACATTACGAAACTGGGAACATGTTACATGAGGCTAGTAGAGTTCACAGAGTACCTAACTGCAATTCCCAGACTTCACCTTCAAAAGCTCCATTCAGCTCTTCCTTTTTGTGACGGACTGCCTGACACCCCGACTTATCTTTGCTGGTATCTACGGCAAACTACAGCTTTCTCCACAGGAACCAGAAAATAGCAACAGGCAGAACCAATGTTGGAGTAAAACAAGGACTGACATTTATTAACAAACCACACCGCATACACAAAAACCTTTCTCCTAGACAGGTATGGCACACATGACAAGCCCCAGAAGAAAATTATATTACTGTACATAAGCAAACACAAGATAACAATGGATTCCTTCCCGGCACCTAGCAGTGTGGTCTATGGCAGTGATTAAACAAAGTGAGAGCTTATCACCTAAACCTATTTACAGCAAACAATAGTTGATGCCAGGAAATCTGTAACAGAAGATAGTTTAAGTGCACATATGCTGGAATTCACCCTCTGCACATATTCATAGGCAGCCAGATATACGCAGGGAAGTGTTATAACCCTCTTGGGTTCCTTGTAACCCCAAGAGGGGTGTCTCCTTAGTCCTGGCTCCATAGTCGGTGGGAAGAAGGTTGGCCCCCAGGGCCCTCCAGGAGCCTAAGTCATGGTGGTTTCTGTGACACTTTTGGCACAAGACTTTGGCCCACAAAACCCACCAAGTCTTCCTCAAAGCCCTCTTCCCAATGAAGGGGAGGACATCTGTTACATTGCAGACATCTCAGACCTGTGGTTTCAAAGGGGCACACAATAGAAATCAAAACTCTACCCCCCACTGCTTGCTTCTTCAAAAAACTGTCCAAGGACAGTCAGATTCGCAGAGTGCCCTGAACCATCTCTTGTCACACGGAGTAGTTGCAAGTGCCTCCACAGGACGGGTTCAAAGGGTTCTAATTTGCTCACTGTACCAACACCCAGTAGAGAGATTCATTCTATCCTGGACCTAAACCCCCTAAACAAAGATCTTCAAGTTTCACATGGAATCCACAAGGTCTGTTCATTGCTTCAAACCACTGTAACAAAGCCCAGGAGGGAAAAGAGTGCCTTTTTGTGGACCTAAAATCTCTCAAAAATACTTTCAAATTTCAAAGGTTTTCATGGAATCTGCAAGGTTGGCAATCGCCTCCCTGAGATGGGGAATATCTGGCATTGCTAGACATCCAGGAGGTCTTTATACATTCTCAGTTATCCACCTTATCAGCACTTTATGCTCTTTGCAGTGGTTAACAGCGATTTCCGTTTTATCGCACTGGCATTCGGCCTGTCATCTACTCCTACAGTATTCACAAAGGTCCTAGCACCTTTTTTTCCTTATCTCAGAACTCAGGACAATCCATAGCTTGTGTAGACAACATTCTTTTGAAAGACTCCTTTCCTTTACAGCTGTCTGCAAACATCCACAGGGCAATTCAGATAATCCAGGACTTTGATTGGGTGATCAAAATTCAAAAATCTTCTGTCTTTCCTGGGAATACTTGGATCTGGTCCTGGACACATCACAAGCACCTATTTTCCTTGAGAGTTCTAGAAAGATTTTTTCATGGCCTCATTTGAGACCTCTCCAACACAATATCTGGTCAAACTGGAACAAACATGCTCCTCTGGACTTACCCATGCTCCTTTTTTCTAGGTAATCGGGGAATTCCCTAAATTTGGTGATCCTCCAGCCCAGCCTTAACAGTAAGGAAGCGTTTCCTTCCATACAACTGGGAAGTGATCATAGATGCCAGGCTTTCAGGCTGGGGATGATTGTTCCAGCCCCTCACAGTCCAGGAAACATGGTCACCCATGAAGGAAACAAGCTAGATAAACTCATACAGAATCTCACTGTCCAGTTATATCTGTGGTCCACATCCCAGAACTGCAAAACAGACTACCTTAGCTGCCACAGCCTTGGTCAAGGGGAATGGGCCCATCACCCAGGCATCATCAATCTGATATGTCAGAAATAAGAGGGTTTCTGGATGTAAACATACGAGCTTCCAGATTCAACAACAAGCTACCTCTGCTTGTGGACAGGACCAAGCAATGGCTTCAGTTGCCCTGATGATTCCCTGGTCTCAGTTCACACTAATCTATTCCTTTTCCCCCAGTGCAAATTCTGCCTTGTCTGTTCAAAACAAAACAGAGCAAGAGATGAAGATTGTGATTCTCATTGCACTAAACTGGTATACAGACATACTCTGGCATCTAACAGACAACCTCTGACCTCTCCCCAACAGCCTGTCTCTGTCTCAGAACCCTCTATTCCATATTGCTTCTCCGTTTCTGGCTTTAACGGAATGGCTGTTGAAGCAGATGTCCTAAGATAGAGGAGGCTCTGAATCTGTAAATCTACTTTGCTGAAAGCAAGAAATGCCACTTCCAGAATGATTAACTATTAATACTAGAGAGAGAGAGAGATTCTGGGCATATCTGCCCACCCCACCCCCATCGCCATGTGTACCCTGTACTTCTTGAGGTCTTAACTTGGTTCTATTTGCCATGCAGAAATCCATTGGGGATATTCTGTTAGATGGCCTCCCCTGCAAAGTCACTTGTAATGCGCCGTTCCTCACTCTTCACAATGACCAGGTAGTCTTATACCCAAGACCATCCTTTCTTTTTAAGGTGGTATCAGTCTTCCACCTCAATGAGGACATAGTCTAACCATCCTTATGGCCTGCTCCAAAGTATCAGAAGGACATCTCTTCATTGCCTGGATGTAGTCTGAACTATTAGAGCCTACCTCAAAGCAACATCATCGATCAGGCAGACTGATTCCCTATTTGTCTTGTCCTTAGGACCTCGCCATGGACACCAAGGGGTTAATTTAGTAAAGCTGGAGAGCTCAAAATAAAGTTCACTTCTGTATAGAAACCAATTTGCTTCTAACCTCAGCTTGTTCTATTAAAGCGGACTACCAGCTTAAAAAAAAAAGTCAGCAGCTAAAAAAACTGTAGCTGCTGACTTTTAAAATACAGTCACTTACCTGTCCTTCGGTCCAGTGGTGTCCTCACCATGGATGGTTTCACCGGTGGTCTTCTTTTCCTGGCACGAGTGGGCACCCAGCTGTGACAGCTTGCGGCTTCACAGCCAGGTGCCCACTGCGCATGCGCGAGAAGCACTGCGCTTTGGGAGTGGCCCCGTAGTCTTCTTGGACCTGTTGCTTGTCTCAGAAGACTATAGGGAGGGAGGACAACTTCTACTTCCGATCACCTTATGGGATCGCTGCGGAAGTGGGAGCGGGCACCTGTCAAATTCGGTTTACCCTGCTCCCCAAAGGTGCCAATCCTGGGGAGCGGGGGACAAAGACTTAAAGCGGAGCTTCCCCTTTTGGGTTGAGCTCCGCTTTAAGCTTTTGAGCTTTAAGCTTTGACAATAAAACCTGTTGATTGGTTTCTATGCACAAGTGAGCCTGATTTTTCACTTTCCATCTTTAGTAAATAAACCCCCAAGCTTCTAAATAAACTTTTTGCTCAATTGATATGACATCTCATCACTAGGGCTTACACTATTAAGGACAAACCTCCTTCCTGTGCTTTTTAAGTGCCCATTCCACCTCATCGGTAGGAGTTTCCTAGGCTTTCTGGCAGTAGACCTTTATAGCCCAGCTTTGTAAGGTTGTCCCCTGTTCACACCTGTTCAAAGGTCTAATAGGTGGACTGCCATTCTTCTGCAGATGCTGCTTTCGACCGCAAAGCTATTGGAGTGGCACTCTAAAGTAGGGTTTTTTTTAATGTTGTTGGGCCTTTTGGCACAGTTGTGTGCCCAGTTGTTGCCCACTGTTCTCATTCATTGCTTGGAGATGTCCCCAAGCCTGTGTCCTGTACTGTTTAAGATAAGAGGAATGTTGATTTACCTGTAAATTCCATATTTGGAGTACAGTGCAGGACAAAGGACACCCTTCCTTCTATTTCTTGCTTACTCTGTATTGCTTGCTACAAAACTGCAGACTCATGAAGTGGGATAGGGTTATAGGAGAGTCACCCAGGATGTGTGCCCGTTGAAAGCTTTGCCAATATCCAAGCACAAGCCTATTACCTAGGGGCTCTTAATACTTTTCCTGTCTTATAATGTATTCCAGGATTAGGATAGGAGCAGGAAAGAACCAGGATCTGGCCCATTTTCCAAGCACAGGAGAGTGGTGCAGGAACAGAGCCTGCAACAGTCGTAGTTCTTTTGAAGACAAATTAGATGTTTCTAGGGACAGGAAGAGAGGCTTATGGAGATTTTTCTGAGAATACCACTCTGTGTACTTGAACACCTTTGGAAAACTTAAATTAAATATACATGTAACTCTGTAATGGAGATTGAGTTGAATTTGCCTGCCTTTTGTGTATAAAGTTCAATACATAAAATATTTGAAGGTGGTTCTTCCTATCAAAGATTAAGCCACTATTTTTTTTCTACTCCTTAAGAAGGGCACATTTACACTTCAACTTTAACCACTTCAAGTCCGGACACTTTTTATTTTTTTCAGCTTTCAGCTCACACGTTGAATAACAATTGCGTGGTCAAAACTGTACCCACAAAATTTTTTTTGCAAAGACAGATAAAGCTTTTTTTTGGTGGTATTTATTCACCACTGGGATTTTTATTTTTTTGCTATATAAATGAAAAGTCCAAAAATTTTGAAAAGTGTTTTTCTTATAAAAATTTGCAAATAAATAATATTTCTCATAAATCTTGGCCAAAATGTATTCGGTTATCTTGTTATAAAAAAAAAAAAACCCAAAATAAAAGTCTGACTGCATCATCATTTATAACTTCTAAGAAATAATCATTGCATCCATGCAACAAGTAAAAGTCTTACCCAGAAGCATTGGAATTTTTCAGCAGATTGACTATACTGTCTAGAATGAAATAGATTTGAAAAGCAGGTGGTATACTAAATGGCATTTTAGCAGTCTGTTTCATATTCAGTACTAAAGAAAGCATAGAGATGCGTACACAGCTACCTTAATTAAATTATAGCACAGTGGCTAAATGGTTAGCACTTCTGCCTGGCAGTGCTAGGGGAGTTGGTTCGAATCCCAGCCACAGCACCTCCTGCCTGGAGTTTGCATGTTCTCCCTGTGCCTGCGTGGGTTTCCTCCGGGTACTCTGGTTTCCTCCCACACTCCAAAGACATGCTGGTAGGTTAATTGGAACCTGCCTAAATTGGCCCTAGTATGTGTATGTATGAATGTGAGTTAGGGACCTTAGATTGTACGTCCCTTGAGGGATGGGGACTGATGTGAATGTAAAATATATATGTAAAGCACTGCGTAAATTGACAGCGCTATATAAGTACCTGAAATAAATAAACATTTTTTGTTACAGTGGATTATGGATTGCCTTATGAGCAGTTGAACATGGTACATGAGGCTTTGGTCAGTATGCGATTACTCATTTTGCACTGGCCTATGAACTCTAGTACTGGAGAAACTAAGATAATTGTTCAGCAAGAAGTGGTTGAAATTGATGGAAATCAGGTTAGTAAAAAAATTACTTTGTACTTTTGGTGTAACATAATTGCCATATCTCCATTTTTATGAATGTACATTTAAAATGCATTAGTAATACTTCTCCTATTCCTTATCCACAATTCTGTAAAGTAGAGTTCAGCTTTAAACATCTTTCTTTCATCCACAAAGGACACTCTCTTGTCCTTTGTGTGAATTTAAGGATAGAAGATTTGCACTGCATTCTCTGTATGGACCTATTTTTTAATCTATTTTATATAGAGTAATTAAATAAGAACCATGAGTGAGATGTTAGCTGATACAATTATGTAATGTTATCACCTACATTCTTGAGACCACAATAGGAATTTACCCACCGAGTGTTTTTGTTTTTTTGGGGGTTTTTCTTTTTTTTGTTACAGGTTTATCAAAATGTGACAGCTGAAATAAAACTAGTAGTCGGTAGAGATATGGAAGTACTTCAGCACATGGTGTTGAATATCCTTTTGAAAGATACGTGGCTTTACTCCATTCCAAGGACCAGTGATGTTTTATTTACATTTCCAAATATACCACAAGCAGGTGAGCTACACTTTTAAAAAATAAATGCATCCACTTTTTTTATTTACACTGCAGAGTTAACTTACTTCCTGCCTGCATGCCTTTTCATTTCCAGTATATGAACATTCATATAAGTGTGTGCAGTTATACTTATGTTTGCTGTCCTTAAGGATTTTGGAGAGCCTATATGATTAGGCAACATACAGACAAATAATAGTTATACTTTACACTTGCCTCTCTCTTTAATAAATATACAGTTGTGTTCAAAATAATAGCAGTGTGTTGAAAAATTGAATAAAGCTCAAAATCCTTCTAATAGCTTTTATTTCCATACACACAAATGCATTGGGAACACTACACATTCTATTCCAAATCAAAACATGAAGAAAAATATATCAAATTTGTGTTGTTCCTCTAAACAAAATTGAAGAAAAGTGAATATTAGACTGTTCAAAAAAATAGCAGTGTTTGTATTCTTCTTTACAAACTCAAACATTCACTATATAAACTGAAAAATGTTTGAAGATTTTGCTTTCCTTTGAATCTCTTGTTGGTCTGGAACAAAGATGTTGCACATTTACTGGTGTGTTGGGGTCGTTGTCTTGTTGGAACACCCATTTCAAGGGCATTTCCTCTTCAGCATAAGGCAGCATGACCTCTTCAAGTATTCTGATGTATTCAAACTGATCCATGATCCCTGATATGCGATAAATAGGCCCAACACCGTAGTATGAGAAACATCCCCATATCATGATGCTTGCGCAACCATGCTTCACTGTCTTCACAGTGTACTGTGGCTTGAATTCAGTGTTTGGGGGGTCGTCTAACAAACTGTCTCCGGCCACTAGACCCAAAAAGAACAATCTTACTTTCATCAGTCCACAAAATGTTGCGTCATTTCTCTTTAGGCCAGTCAATGTGCTCTTTGGCAAATTGTAACCTCTTCAGCACATGTCTTTTTTTCAACAGTGGGACTTTGCAGGGGCTTCTTGCAGATAGCTTGGCTTCACATAGGCGTCTTCTAATTGTAACAGTACTCACAGGTAACTTTAGACCTTCTTTGATCTTCCTGGAGCTGATTGTTGGCTGAGTCCTTGCCATTTTGGCTATTCTATCCATTCGAATGGTAGTTTTTCGCTTTCTTCCACGTCTTTCAGGTTTTGGTTGCCATTTTAAAGCATTTGCGATCATTTTAGCTGAGCAGCCTATCATTTTCTGCACTTCTTTATATGGTTTCCCCTCTCCAATCAACCTTTTAATCAAGGAACACTGTTCTTCTGAACAATGTATGGAACGACCCATTTTCCTTAGAATTTCAGTGAGAAATGCAGCATGTACAACATTTGCTGCCTTCCTTCCTTAAATAAGGGCAATAATTGCTACCTGTTTTTCAAAGAATGACTGACCTCACTAATAGAACTCCAATAGAACACTGCTATTATTTTGAACATGCCCCTTTCAATTAGTGATTCAATTACACAGAATCAGCAGCATGCATGTCATGACTGTTGCGTCTGTTGGATTTCTATTACTCTACTACACCTGCTAGTAAATTATTTGCCATGTAGAAATATTTCTACCAAAAACAGTGATTGATCAGGTTAGTGATGTCTGACTGCTATTATTTTGAACACAACTGTATGTACATGATGCATGGGCTTCATGATGCAGCAAAGCAGCTCCCTAATTAACAAAATGTAAGACATGTTGGACATAAACTTGAAAAATACTTTCTTTTGATTTCAAGGAGCAAGTGTTGAGGTCCCCTTTGTACTTTTAGCCTCATCATGATCATTTTCCCAAGTGAAAGGCCAAAAAAGAGTGGCAAGTAAAACGACCTGGGGTGCAGAAGCAATGCCTAGTTTGCACTGTTCTTAGTTGGATGTAGAGCACAGCAAAGCTAACCACACTTTAAGAACTCAACGGCTATGAGGAACGAGCTCCCTTGATTTTGCTTGGTGTGGGTGAATTGAAAAAAATGCCTCTTGATTTTGTTTGGATGTCTGCAGAATGCTATGGCAGGTTGTTGCTTCTCAGCGTCCAATCAAATCAACTCCATCAATGTGTATCCTTCAGTGTCCTTCCACATGTGATATTCGTAATTCCTACTCTTGCCCTCTAAATATGAATAACTTGCTCAAATATTTTCCCAACTCATGCGTTATTGCTTCCAAATCACTGCTGAATTATCATTCCTTCCAGAATTTAAATTCCATATAGTGTAGTATTATCAACAGTTATCGTGCCACTCTGTGCTCCTGTGATAACTGACCAATGACCACCAATGCGTGAGACAATAAGAAATTCCACCACCTTCCAACCCATGCACCATACCAAATAGTAAAGCAAACACAGCTTTTCACAAATAGACTGTAGCCAATATCGCTCTTGTTGTTCCGTCACAATGCCCATATGTATAGATCAAATCAGAATAGACCCCATCGGTTAACCACTTCCCGATCGGCCGTTGCATATAAACGGCCGGACAGTGGCAGTGCAGGGTCGGGTGGCCGTTTATAAACGGCCTCCCTGCACCCTGCTTGTGCGCACTCCCTGGGAGTGCGCAGCACCGCGATCTGGTGCCCGCTGTGTCCTCCGGACACAGTGAAACACCGATCGTCGGACGGGACCTCTGTACGAGGCCCCGATCATGTGATCACTGATTGGCCAATCAGTGATCACATGCAAAGTAGTAAGCAAGATGTCACTTGTGACATCATTGCTTACTACGTGTGGAATCTGTGAATGATCACAGAGGTCACATGGTACAAGCCTATTCACAACAGGCTTGTACCATGTGACAAGCTGTGACCAATCACGGCTCACTCAGTACTTCTCAATGAGTGCAAGAATGCACACAGTGAGAAATGATTGCTTTTACATCCAATATGGGTGTAAAAGCAATGTGTAAAAAAAAAAAAAAATCTTCATCACCCCCCCCCCCCCCGCTAGGGTAACAGTATGTAAAAAAAAAAAATAAAAATAAAATAATATAAAAAAATAAAATAAAAATGTAAAAAAAAATGTTTAAAAATTATAATTTTTGGTTATAAACTAATTTGGATTTTTTTTTTTTTTACTAAAAAGATAATGGAATAAATTTTGGCAAAGATTTATGATGAAATATTATTTATTTGCAAAATTTTATAACAAAAACACTTTTTTTCAAAATTTTTGGACTTTTTCATTTACATAGCAAAAAAAATAAAAATCCCAGCGGTGAATAAATACCATCAAAATAAAGCTTTATCTGTCTCAAAAAAATGGTAAAAAATTTATTTGGGTACAGTGTTGCATGACCGTGCAATTGTCATTCAAAGTGTGATAGCAATAAAAGCTGAAAATTGCCTTGGTCAGGAAGGGGGTAAAAGTGTTCGGTCTGGAAGTGGTTAATATGTCAAAAACCTTCTATTTCATTAGATGAAAAGCGTTTACATGGCTGTGATGTACATCAGCGTTATTTCAAACAATTTGGACCGGACCTCATCCAAAATGGCCGCCACACAACTTCCGGTTGATGTCTGATGTCAATTCATGACTCGTTTCATCATTATGACTTTGTCAAAGGATTTTTTGACAGTCAATGACGAAACACGGCAGAAAGTGATACCAGGCGCCAACTGGATGTTGCACTGCGGCCATTTTGGATGAGGTCCGGTCACAATTATTCTTGGTTAGTAACTAATTAAAGGAAGAGAAGAGCATCACATTTACAGCCAGGTGCCTAGCATTTCCAAAATGAAGAGTTGGGCATGGCAGATTTCGTGGTTTTTCTCTGGAGACATTTCTCCAGAAAGAAGAGCAGACCGGAAAATGATGTCCCTCTGGTTTTAGCCATTTCCCAGTCTATGATCTGGAACAAGTATGCAGATTGGGAAAGTCCGAAGTAATCATCTGCATACATGGTTCAGGTCAGGGAATCGAAAGCTATCTGTATGACAGGTAGACAGCTAGACAATTACCACTTTTAAAGGAGAGTTTAGTAAGGATGGTATTGTGACGGTCGCGGTGTCAGACCCCTAGTCCTTCTCACCAACTCGTGAGGACTAGCCAATCTAAAACCGCGCTGTCATGTGCGTAACAATGCCACGCTCAGCTGCACCCTGCACAAAGATTTTCCAGCTAATGGACCACAATCTATGTACCTGCAGCCTGAGAGCGATTGTTACTGGGTCAGGTTAATTACGCAATTAACCCTTCACACTGCCACCACCGCCTTTTTGTAGAGAAAAGGAGGAAACTCGCCAATATTAGCAATAACACTATGATGTTTAAATAATCGTCTCTATACCACTGTCACCGCAGGCAGAGGTATATAGAGGTCTGAAAACACACAGTAGCACTCTTCAGAGACAGGGATTCTTAGTTTTCATTAAAGAGCTTTAGAAACAGTTTAACATTTTCCAGAAAATAGGATTTATTACTAAAAAGGTCAAACTGGTGCAATAAAAGTATTTACAGAAAAAAGATGTAGCCTAATATATATACATACATACATACATACATACATACATAGAGATAACAGAAATTTAGAGAGGTCAAGTACTTGCCAAAAGTCCTGGGTTAAGCAGAGCAAAAGGGTACCATCTCCCAAGTTGGTTCCTGATGTTAAAAGGGGAGAATTCTTCAACTTAGTTCTCCAAACCTGACCGCCTTTTTCTAGGAACTCAGCAGGGTGTCTCCTTACAGCAGAGAACCAATCGCCTCATTTGGGGAGGGGTGTTTTAGGGGGGCTGTCTCAGGCTAGAACCAAAATCCCTCCCAAGTTTCACCAGGGTCAATAACCTTCCCTAGGTACATGTAACATTCTATCCACGTGTAGGATAATCTGCAGAATGATATTCTGAACGTCCAGATACCAGTTATGACATATCTGCTTGGGACGGTTAAGAAGATATCGCTTTCTGCTCTCGGGTATACTTAACCCAGGGGTGTAAGATATTAGGTGACTCGCATTAAGCTGAGCTATCCGAATATGTGCTTTATTTTTATGTCATTATTTCCTACCTTAAGATATGAAATTATAGGGAAAAGTGGGTTTTAAATGTGATGCCTGTTTTACGGCTACCTAGGAATGCGTTTGAAGTCCAGTGAAGGACTGGTTTATGGCTTTAAGATTATCTCAGATTGAGAAGCTAACAGACACCCGGGCACCAGCTACTTTGGGATTTATAACCATGAAGCTGTCCCACTGTGCCTGATTGCCTGTGCACTTCTGAACCCAGCACACAGGGACCACGTGTCGCTCAACAGAGAGGGAGGGGGGAAGCTGATTTGGAGTAGAAATGATACAAGATGGAGGGCCTTTGGCAAAATGGAGGTTCACATCCATCTCTGTACGTACAATTGCTACAGGCATCCTTTTTTCTCTCGAGACCTGTTTATGTATTTATTGACTTCTTTTCTCCAGCAGGTGACCGTGTTCCACAGGAAACCACCAGGGAGTACAATGTAAGGCAAAACACAACTATGGATGAAGATCCTTTTCCAGGAAAGCTTCCAGAAACCCCTCTCCAAGCAGTGATCCCAGCTTCATCCTATAAAGTGAGCTAACGTCTAGGAATTTTGGGTTTAACCTTTATCCAGCCCTTGGATCACTATTCTTCCCACTGACACCAAGAGTGTGGCATAACTATTCCTTCTACTGACCCAAGGTGCCATGTAATTTCTTTGCTCCCATTGACCACAAAGCCTGAGGCATTTATTCACACTGAATCCAGGATACTTTCTCCACCCACTGGCCACAGTCCAGCCCCTTTAAAATATGAAGGACCGTAAACTAGCCTTCCGTTTTTAGAAAGTTTAGAAACCCCGATCTAAACAAAGTGATGTCGTCCTACCATTTTGCCTTTTACATGGGCATCTTTCTTGTGGCTACTAGACGGTGCTGTGCATAGAGCACAAATATAATCTGCTGCATTGGTAGGGAAAAAACAAACCATAGAGATGATGGAATGGTGAATTTAAAGCATATCTGTGGTCAAACTTGAAGATATTAATTTCCTCATTGAATATCAATATTTTCTAGCTTATTCTTGACTTTTGTAAACTTCACTACCCACTGTAGGCTTCCTGTTGTCCTTCACATCAAAAAGGCTTTCTTTATCAAAGCATTACAACCAAGACATTTTCACAATTGCCAGTTAATATAAAACTGGTCTTAAAAATGTGTCATTAGGCATATTTATTATTTATTTCAGGTACTTGTATAACGCCGTCAATTTACGTTGCGCTTTACGTATATATTGTACATTCACATCAGTCCCTAACCCTCAAGGGGCGTACAAACTTACATTCATACAAACACATACTAGGGCCAATTTAGACAGGATCCAATTAACCTACCAGCATGTCTTTGGAGTACCCGGAGGAAACCCACGCAGGCACAGGTAGAACATGCAAACTCCAGGCAGGTGGTGCCATGGTTGGGAATTGAACCTACGACCCGAGTACTGCCAGGCGTAAGTGCTAACCATTTAGCCACTGTGCTGCCCTTTATATGTAATATGTATATGCAGATGTAAAAAAGTGTACAATTCTGACTTGAGCAAAAACAGATCTACCACTTACATGTAAGGCACGCGTCAAAATCCTATTGTAGATTATGTTGAAATCGGGTAAACTAGGTGGACTGCCATCGTAAGCGCAGTTGCAAGGCTAGCTGGTTTGCATTCGCAGTCCACTTGTTGTTTCTGTAGTCAACACCTTAATCTTCACTCTCAGTTGCTATATTAAGTTATATTTATTCTGTAAAGGATAGTGTGTGTAAAACCCACTTTTGTCTGATCTCTTCTAGGTGATGTGCCAATTTGCAGATGATCTGAGAGAAAAACTCTGTCTTATCTGGAATGGGCTATATCCTGTTTTAATTAACTTTATAGAAGTTTTCATTGTGGGAGTGATAGCTGCTGCTCTTGTCTTACAACTACTGAAGTTGGTGTATCCATCAAAAGAACACAAGTAAGATCTAAATAATATTTAGAAAAGTGTGTGTGTGTGTGTGTGTGTGTGTGTGTGTGTGTGTGTGTGTGTGTGTGTGTGTTGTTTGTGTGTGTTAGTGTTAAAGGGATACTTTGAAAACACATCAGAAATGCTGCATATCTATACTGATCTGGACTGGGTAATGTGTTAGGAATGTAAGGATGCCCCATCATTTGATGAAAATTATCAACCTACAGAGGACTGAATTGAAAGACACCCCAAAAATCAAAGTGAAAAAATAATGCAGCAGGCTAGTCCAAATGTCATTGCAGCAACTCAAAATGGTACTCCAGTAGTTTGTATGGCGCCCACATGCTTGTATGCATGCCTGATAACATCAGGGTATGCTCTTAATGAGACGACGCATGGTTTCCTGGGGTATTTCCTCCCAGATCTGGACCAGGGCATCACTGAGCTCCTGGACATTCTGAGGTGCAACCTGGCGGCATCAGATGGACTAAAACATGATATCCCTGAGGTGTTCTATTGGATTTGGGTCAGGCGAGCGTGGGGGGCCATTCAATGGTATCAATTCCTTCATCTTCCAGGAACTGCCTGCATACTCTTTCCACATGAGGCCAGGCATTTTCGTGCACCAGGAGGAACCCAGGAGCCACTGCACCAGCGTAGGGTCAGACAATGGGTCCAAGGATTTCATCCCGATACCTAATGGCAGTCAGGGTGCCATTGTCTAGCCTGTAGAGGTCCGTACGTCCCTCCATGAATATTCCTTCCCAAACCATCACGGACCCACCACCAAAACGGTCATGTTGAATGATGTTGCAGTCAGCATAACGTTACCACAGCTTCACCTTTTCACCTCTATCACACATGCTCAGGGCAAATCTGCTCTCATATGTGAAAAGCACAGGGCGCCAGTAGTGGACCTGTAAATTCTGGTGTTCAATGGCAAATGCGAATCAAGCTTTATGGTGCTACAGGGCCCACTAGAGGACGTCGGGCCCCCAAGCCACCCTCATGAAGTCTGTTCCTGATTGTTTGGTCACCACTGGCCTGCTGGAGGTCATTTTGTAGGGCAGTTCTCATCCTGTTCCTCCTTGCACAAAGGAGCAGATACTGGTCCTGCTGATGGGTTAAGGACCTTCCACGGCCCTGTCCAGCTCTCCTAGAGTAACTGCCTGTGCCATCCTGGAGGAGTTGGACTGCCTGTGCAACTGTAGGGTCCAGGTATCGCCTCATGCTACCAGTAGTGACATTGACCCTAGCCAAATGCAAAACTAGTTCAAAACAGTCAGAAAAGATTAGTAGGGAAAAAAAATATCAGTGACCTCCACCTGTAAAACCATTCCTGTTTTGGAGCTCATCTCAGTCTAGTGAAACTGATTAACAACCCCCCTCTGCTACTTATCTGCTACAATATCCCAGGAGTTTCATTGACTTGATGCTATACTCTGATTTAAAAAGTGTTCCTTTAAATTTTTTGAGCAGTGTGTATATAGTGCTCACCATAAAATGAGTACACCTCAACAGATTTGTCAGAAAACCTTTACTTTACTTTCAGAATCCACATTTTTCTATGGGACACTATACTACAAAATATTCTGACAAATGTGGGCCATTTGTGTGCAAATTTACAAATCTTGTTTGCAATCAAGTATTTTTCCTAACAAATTTGTTCAAGACCATGTTGCAAAAATGAATACACCCCAATTAAAATTTAGCTTTGCGCCTAAGACTTTCAACAACAAAATCCTAATTAACAAGAATTCAACTACAGGTGAGTCTAATTATTCATTAAACAGGTGTCCAGTAGACATTTGATTATAAAAGGGCAAAGAAAACCCCTTCCCATTTCATGCTGTCAGCAATGGCACCACATGGGAGAGAAATGTCGCAAGGCTTGAGAAAGATAAAATAATTTCTTTACACAAGAAAGGTGAAGGCAATAAGAAGATCAGCAAAGATTTACTTATCAGTCAGATTACTGTAGCAAAAGTGATACAAAGATGGAACTAGAGCCATCTCACATATGTCAACGTCATCCACAAAAGTTAACCCTTCTCATCAGAAGATGCTCCTGTCGAGGTGTTGAAGAAAATCACTATGCAAGTTCACTGCAGTTGGTTAAAGAAGTAGAAAGCCAAACTGGGGTGATTGTTTCCTGTGACACAATACGGCATACACTGCAGAGGAATGGCATGTATGGGTGTTGTCCACGAAGAAAGCCTCTCCTAAAGCCCCGGCACAAAAAAGCCCGCCTAGAATTTGCCAAGGCCATGCTGAAAAAGAAGATGACTACTAGGACATTGTGTTCTGGAGTGATGAGACCAAGATAAATGTTTTTGGAACTGATGGCTTCAAAACTGTATGGCATCACAAAGGTGAGGAGTACAAAGAAAAATGCATGGTGCCTACAGTGAAATATGGTGGTAGCGAGGAGCTGCTCTTCATTGATGGTATCATGAATTCACAGATGTATTGCTCTATATTGAAAGAGAAGATTCTGCCATCACTCCGTGCACTTGGTCGTCGTGCACTTTTCCAACATTACAATGATTCAAAATACACATGTAAGACCACTGTTGCATTGCTGAAGAACAGGGTGGGTGAAAGTGTTTCTGTGGCCAAGTATGTTTCCTGATCTGAACCCAATCAAACACCTATGGGGAATTCTGAAGAGACAAATTGAGAATCACACTCCATCCAGCATCCAGGCTCTAAAAGAGGTCGTTCTTGAAGAATGAAAAAAGATCAATGTTGCAATATGTCACCAAATTGTTAATTCCATGCATAGAAGACTTGGTGCTGTCCTTACAAATCATGGAGATCATACAAAATACTAGATGTAGTAGTTTTTGTTGTGGGGTGTATTCATTTTTGCATTGACTAAGTTGAGTAAAACCTGAAGATCTTGTAATCGAAGTTATATTATTAACCTTACTTTCATGTAATGAGCTAAACAAATATTCTATAAAACTCAGTTTTGTCAAAATTTTGCGCCCTCCTGAGGTCGTACAGGCAAAATGACGTCCATGCCGCCAGCCCGCAGTAAATGTACTGTGGGCGATTGGCAAGCGGTTATATTGCTACACTGCATTTAATAGTGGTCAGCCCTGTATCCTAAAAGGAATATCCCTTATTATTGAGGGGTTTTTCAATACAGCTACTTCTGTTTATTTTTAGATAGATATGATGATTTATTTTTTTGGTTTTGTTTTTGGGGATTAGCGCACAGTGGTGAATTTGACATTTTAGAGAATTTTACATTTTATACATAACTTTTGCCTAAACAAAACAGAAAATTTTACATAATCTGGTCTCTGTCACCAGAGTGTACATGAAAAACCAGCTCTGGGTGTTTTTTGTTTCTGTTTTTTTTGTTTTTTTTTTAGCCAATAGTCCTCAGTTTTCTAGTTTGAATAATGGCCATCAAGGGTATGTAACTTGTCTCAGGAGTCCCTCATCTTGTATCTGTAGTAGTCACAAGAATAAGATTTTTCCCCAAGTCCTCTTCCAGGAGGAATGCTTTGGCTCTGCCTTTAACAGAAAACATAAACCAGAAAGAGCTCAAAAATCCCCTCTGTCTCCCTCATTCTCAATTGTTGTGTTTCCGACCATCCAAGAATATACTTTGTCATGTTTGTTTTGTCTCTTCTGGCTCTGATTGTGATTATTGGGCCCCCTCAGGTGACTAGGTTCTGGTATGCCTGTGTTCCTGGTTCGGTTGCTTACCTTAGGGTTTTTATTTCCCTGAAGACATGTGCTGGACCTTGCTGCTTGACTGATTGCAGGCATATCCAGCATCCCATTGGTTTTTGGCCTGTTCCTCCTGATGCAGTAGTGATGCTGGTGGTTATTGGTCTCCCTGTGAGATTTTTTCCTGCATTTCTCCAGCAGTATAGTGTCTCTGGGCAGGTCCCCTATATAGTAGACTGAGATGGCTCTGGCTCCATTCTGGCATCCGATCATGACACACTTTCTGGTTCATGGTCACTTCTGCTCATGTGGGCAGTACTTCTGCTCAACCACTTAAAAGTATGGGCGTACATGGGTGCTGTTTTATTCTGGGCTGTGATTGCTGAAAGGGGCTGACATCAGTGCCGTACCAGAGAATACTAACAGGTTTGCCTGTAGGAGTGGAGGACATACTGCTGAGGGTCCTAGTCTGTACAAAGAGCCCAGGCAGCAACTCTTCTAACGAATTCACCTCTTTGGAGCAAGGTGGAGAGCCATCCTGGATCAATGAAGCCTCCTGGGCAGGCTAGGTTGGGGGTCCACCTCTAATTTCAGAGATGCACTTTCTAAGGTAAGCTCATATCATGTACCTTGTGTTTTATTGCTTTTAGGTTACAATCAGGTTACTGATTTTGTATTTGTATGTTAAAAGTAGTTCAGCCCATTAAGAATGTGGAGGTTGTAAATTTTAAGCTTTCTGATATTTTCACTTTTTTTTTTTTTAATGAAATGTATCCTGTTCATAACAGGATTAGAATCTGACATTTGCATAAGGGTTTTTATGATGTCCATGTGTGAGGGTATGCTTAATCAAACTTTCAGTTGTAATTTATTTGCCCTACCTTGTAATGATAGATTAGCACGTGGTGGCTGCAGTTTTCAGTGTAATGGCTAATTGATCTCCCTGTGTCCAAGCTCCAGAGATTGTGGGATATACTGCATGGTTTCTTCACTGGAGGGGTCAGTCTATAGCCTGCAGAAAGAGATCATGCCTTTACCAGTGCAGTGCCATGCGGCATGCCCTTTGTTTCAAAGAAACAGAAACATCTGATATTGAACTGTGAAGGTTGTCTGTTGGTCTGTACAGACAGTCTACAATAAAGGACACCATGAATCCACATGGTCATTGTACATGTTAGACAGGTGAAAGGCATGTAGGTAGATTTATAATGCCTTAAGGGATTCAGGTTAGGGTATGCTTTCTCTCAATATCTTTGATAACCCTAATGAACATAAAGATTATCCAGGACCAAGCAGAAGTAAGCTTTGTTAGCCCCTTGGGTCCAAAACGTTGCTGGGTCTCAGCTCTGAAGTCTCTGGCAGTCTGTTCACCCTGGATTCTGCAGAATTGTCCAGATTTATTTTCACAGGGTCAGGGAGCAGCATTCCATCTGAATTCTTGTCTCTTCTGCCTGATGGCCTGGAAAGGGGTATTGACACCTTTCTCCTTAGCAGGGGTGTATCGTGAGATCTGTGGGCCTGTGTTTTTAAGATCAAAAGTGGGCCCTAGACATAGATAAAAATTGAAATCAGTGGACGTGATTTACATTGTGCTAAATATTTGGTGTGGCTTAAAGGGTGTGTGGTTAAATGGATGCTGATATGACTTTTATAGTGCAGAATGTGATAATGTTAACTACAGTGCGGAGTTTACGGCGGTGGGTAGTATGTGCAAGGAGAGGGGTACGGAGTGTATGGAGGTGGGTAGTATGTGCAAGGAGAGAGGTACGGAGTGTATGGAGGTGGGTAGTGTGTGCAAGGAGAGAGGTACGGAGTGTATGGAGGTGGGTAGTGTGTGCAAGGAGAAGGTACGGAGTGTATGGCGGTGGGGTAGTATGTGCAAGGAGAGGGGTATGGACTGTGTGGCGGTGGGTAGTATGTGCAAGGAGAGGGGTACGGAGTGTGTGGCGGTGGGTAGTATGTGCAAGGAGAGGGGTACGGAGTGGATGGCGGTGGGTAGTATGCATTGCAGAATAACCCAGGAATAGAAGGGAGGGTGGCTGTGTCCTGTACCCAAAGATATGGAGTTTACAGGCGAATTAAAATTGTTGCGTGTCCCAGATGACTACGGGGAGGGGGACAACTTCTGCTTCTGATCGCCTTAGGCAATCGAAGTGAGAACCTGTCAAATTCGGGTACCCCCCCTGCTTCCCAAAGGTGCCAATTCTTAACGGGGAGCGGGGGGGGGGGGGGAACAATGCATTAAAGCGGAACTTCCCCTTTTGGGTGGAGCTCCACATTAAAGCTAGTGAATGAGAATCAGGATGCAATAAATAGCATGATTGTTGAAGTCCACGTTTTTAGAGGGCACTGAGACAACATATCTAGCCTATTGGGTAGAGGCCAGTGGTTGTCTCCTATTAGTCTCAGTACGTCTGTGTACCAGGTTCTACTGGCTGTTTTGCGCAATGAAAATCAGTTTTTTTTTTTTTTTTTTGTTTTTTTTCTTCTCTTGCTCAGTTTTGTGGAGTAGGCAAGGTTAAATGCACACTGGAGGGAAGGCATTAACTAGTCTGGACTAAAATCAGGGCATTATCAAGGTATCTAAAGCCAGTGCTAGAGGATCATTGGCCCTGGCCACAAACAGATAATTTGTTGCTCACTCTGGAGGCCAGGAATATCCACATCCTGCCTTCCCCACCTCTGACACGAGGTTGAAAATATTGTGGTGGAAGGCCAATTCCCTTTTGTCCAGATGATGACAGCTGAGGTAATCCGCCTTGCAGTTGTCTCTGCTTGGGAAAAGGACAGCTGAGATCAATGGACAGTGATATTCTATCCATGAGATCATTTGACTTGCTTCCTTCAAGGCTGCATGACTCATGGTGTCCCCTTGGTGGCTGATGTAGGCGACAGCTGTGATATTGTCTGATTGCACCCGATTGGGTGTTCTCTTAGTGGGGGGGGTGCTCATTATTACTACGAGCTCCAGGATGTTGAGTGGGAGCTTGGCTTCCAGTGATGTCCATGTTTCCTGAACTGTGATGGGCTTCAACATTCCTCCCAAGCCTGAAACACTGACATCTGTTATGATTTTTCAGTGATATGGAAGGAATGGCTTTACTGAGGAGCTTGGGCTGAAGATCCATCAAGCTAAAAAAATCCCTTGCTTGGCTGGACAGCAGCATAAGTAGGTCGAGAGGAGGAGTCTACTTGTTCCATGCCAACAAGAGGTTGTGTTGGGGAGCTCTCAAATGAAATTGCGTGAAAGAAACATCCTTGAAGGAGCCCACTATGAGGCCCAGATCTCTGTTCCAGAAAAGAAACTGCCTTCTTTCAGAATTCACGCTTGAGACTAAAGACATTTGCTTGGGATGTTTCATAGTCAAACTGAAATATTTCAGGTGAAGAGAAGGTTGGGGAGAAGATTTTTGGAAGTTGATAACCAAAACAAAAGCATGGAAGAAAGACAAGTTCTTCAGAAGGTTGTCTAGGTAACCTCTGTCCTGAATGTGCTGACTTTATAGAAGGGCAAGAAGAGTTGCTAGGATCTTCATGAATACCCCAGGGCAGACGATAGGCCAAATGGCAGCAGTATTAGACTTTTTCCAGTTTGTCACTCTAAGTGTAAAAAGTGCTAAGGAAAAGCATAAATGGGGGAAAAAAAAAAAAAATCAAGCAAGTACAAGATGAGAAGACATTTTGTTGATGTTCATAACATAGTAGGGTATGGAAACTCTTGACAGAGCTGAGGCTTTATTTTTCCTGATTTATACTCCTACTAAATTGTTGTGGACTGGGCATGCCACGTCTTGAGAGGTAATGGTTTCTGAAGAACTGACACATTCAGGAAGTTATCCAAAGAAGGATGATGCATTTGGCTGTCCTGGAGCTACAACTCACTCTAAGGTCCCAAAGCCTAAAAGGATTCTTGCTACAGGAGTAAATGGTGCAGAGAATTCAGCTCTACTATGGAGGAAAGATGCTGGTGGGGTGTGGGTGCAGGAGGGTAGAGTCAAGGAGATTAGCTTAATTGCATACTTCAAAATGGTATAGTCTTTTTAGGAGCCCTCATTTTGAACGTTTTATAATGTCTGTCTTCTTTGTTTTATAGAGGAATTCTGCAACCCTGTGATATCAAGGATTCTGCCGTGTATGTTCCCTTAATTTTAAGTCCTGAAGAAGTTACAGTGAAAGCACAGGAGGCAGGAAATTATTATATAAAGCCATTTTTTTTCCCTCCGTTTAATGTTCTGCATCCAGTTATGATATTCAGATTGGAGTGTGATGTAAATTGTGGTAAAAGGTTTTTCTATTACTGTGAGACTGACGAGTAATGAATGTTGTAACAGAAGGTATCTAGGCACTTATCCTTTGAGTAATTACTTCAAACACTATTTCCCTGAGGCCAATTTCCATATCTATAATTCATGAGATGGCCAGCAGGGAATATTATGTGTGGCTCTTTGTAAAGCTTAAATTATGTTTAATAAGGATGTGTTTTACAGCTTCCCAGTGCTGTAAAGGACCAATAGGCATGGGTAGCCTATAGACTATCCATTGACAGCCTGGTGCAGACACTTCCCACCTATCTACTGAACACTGTAGTTGTAAATACAGTATACAGGGCCCCCTTGTGCAGTTAAGAAGGTACTGAATAATACTCTGAAGGCAGCCCATGTCTGCACATTTGTCCATTGATTCTTCAAATATATTTAAATGCATTCTGGAGAAGTTTTATAACCTTATATTTTATGTAAACAATATAGTCCAAAGTTCTTTCATGCAAAAATGTCTGTAGGAAGAACAGTTTCTGATGGTTAGAATCAGCAATTATACTCTCCCTTTAAATTTTCTCTCATTGCACTGACACGTAAAAGGGGGGAATACTACTTTTCTGAAACACTTATGAATAAGGTGCAGTGTATTGTTAGCAATGCCAGAAACAAATTTAAAGCAAACCTGTCATCTTTTAAAGCAGAATATCAGCTTTGCCCTCATTTGTGCAGATTGGGAAATGCAAATTATAAACAGAATACATTTTTCAAAACTGAGGTTAGGTCTACCATAAGCCTTTCCACAGGCTTGTCCTTGCCAACAGATGCCTCATGGAAGTAAGAATGGTATTCCTATTCAAACATTATCAGACATAAGTCATTCCTTCCTACCCTTTTTTTTTTCCTTCTTTGAGTGCCACCTCAAAATGTGTGCAAAATTAAATAAAAACATATATATAAAAATAAACTTAACTATGCTTTGTACCAGAGACATTGCAGAGGAAAGTCTTAGCGCTTAAGTTGGAGAAACTGTTAGCAAAGGGAATTTGTTATGCCTATTTTTTTTTTTTTTTTTTTGAGAAGATCTTGTTTTAAAAGCTCAAAAGGATGATTGGGTGTGTTTTTAAAATATAACCTTTTCAGATATATTTTCTTAAATTATTAAACTGTATATACACTAATTGAAATTTGGATGGCTCTAAAAGTGACTTATTTTTAATGAAGCCAATTTTATTCTACCTTTCTTATAAATGTAATCAGGGTATCAAATAGTGTCAAAAGATTTCCTGCAAGACTGGAAACTTATATGCAGAATGAACATTTATAAACTGTACTACTACTTTTTGCCTTTCATGCCCTCGATTTTGTTTTACTCCGCAATGTATGTTCATTCATGTTACCTTGCTCATTGTAGTTTAAAGTTCTTTGCATGGTATTGTTTGCTTTAGTACAATTCACAAGTAAATTCACCAAGCTTTGAGCCCTGTAATCATTAGTATAATGAAGGGCATCAAAAATGTATAGCTACTTCCATGAAGAAAATTAAATCACCCTTTTCTCAGGATGTTAAATTACCGGTAAGTGATTCTGCTATCAACAGGGATAGATACATTAGCTCACATTTGTATTAATCACATGCAGGGACATTTACCAGGTTATATTGGATCTTTAGTTTACAATGTTGAAAATAATCAGTTCATAACCAAATGTTAAAAAAAATCAAATGCAATTTGTTTTTTTAATCTGTTTATAATTTTCTGTTTTGTTAAATACAATATGAAATGGTGAAATTCAATAAAATGTTTTGTATTCCGTGATTAAGATTTTTTTTTTTTTTCCCTTCTTGTCAGAACTGAAGCATATGATCAGTGTGTAAGGATAGAACCTATTCTTTAAAAGGAGCCAAAGCCATTTTGGATATACTACTCCTGTAGGTCACGAGTGCACAGTTCATTCTGCACTCCTGTGACCTGTTTTCAGCAGACAGTGTGTTTGTCTTGCTGTTGACTAATATCACAGAGCCATCCCAAGGTTCAATAAAGATCCTGACCATATGATTAGGATCCACCTAGAAGCTTGGATTGGCACAGCCTCTGTGACCCACCGAGAGCCTCAGCTGGCCCCTCCACAGCCCATCACTTGAGTGGCAATGCAGAGAGCTGGTGTCTGACAGTCATGGCTCTCTGCTCAGAGCAGAGGGGAGAACTGAGGCGAGTATAAATGTCCATACTTTTCTGTTAACTATTACACATTTGGTGTAGTGCCTGATGCACTATAAACGAAGTGGTATGATATATACACCAAAACAGACAGAGGGAGCACTGAAAATAAAATGCTATTAAATTGTCCTAGACAGAATTACTGTGCAAGCAGTCAGTCTCGTACACTCACCCCTTATATTACACCAATAGAAAATATACCCATGTCTCCCATTTCAGGTGCACCTATATTAAAGAGAACGTGGTGTGTTTTCAGTGAATAGAGTTTGAGATGACTTTAGACTCACATTTTTACATACTTTTTTCCAAACTTTGTTGTTCCTTTTTAAAAATGTAGAGGTTTATATATTATCCATCAGGGGAAGGGTACCAGCTGCACAGAGTACATTGTTATGAGCCAGCCAATTATAGACTTGCATTACAAGGTAGAAGTAGCACATATGTACATATAATTACAAACTACATAGAAGTGAGGGTTTAATTCATTAAAGCAGAACTACTCACCTCTGCTTCAGCGATGCATAGTCGCCCTGCCTGCTTCTGAGCCTCGATTGCCAACCGCTGTCATTGGCCAGGCAGGGATGATGTCACTGCCAGGCATGCATGCAAGTTCACTTGGATTCGGCATTGCTGAATTTGTACCAGTGAGCTGCGCATGCTCGTCTCACTATAAAGGGGCAGACAGGCAGGTAAGTAACTATTAATGCAGAAGAGACGAAGCATATCTCTTCTGCATTAAAATTCCTGCCTGTTCACTATTTTTTTTTCTTTTTACCTAACATTCCACTTTAAGAAAAAAAAACTCTTCAAGACGGCATTCTCTTCGCACAGGAAATGTTGAAAAATGTTATAGCCTTTATTTGCAATACAGAGTTAGTCCATGGATTCTGTTTTGTGTTGGACTATCTAGACTTGAAGTAATGAGGCCACTGGATCAGCAATGAGTTCAGCCAAACCATTTATCAACAGGTGGTCAGCAATGGCAGCCTCTTTATTTCTCTTAATACAATTCAATGAGCAAACCTATCCCAACAGGTACTGAATCGGCAGTTTTCAGAGAAACTGGCACTGATAGCATCACTTTTTTTTTTTTTTTTTTTTTTTTTTTTTTTTTTGACACCAGTTTTGAAGGTTACAAATCAGTATATTGTAGAAGGTGTTAAAGTACTCATGCAATGAGAGATGCATAGGGAAATCTATAACAAGAGAAATATACAGACTGTGGTTTCTGATCTCCTTCTGAATATCTTAGCTGCCAGGCCAGCCTAGCCTTGAATGATTTGTATATCACTATTCTGGACAAATAAAGTTGGTTCAGCAAATAAGGTTGGAAGTGACAGTTTTCTTATTCAAGCCTTGCAAGCTGTCATTTCTTAGTGCAGGTCTAATAGTAAAAGGTGTGTTTAATTTGAAACAAACTCTACAGGCTACTGATAATCAGAAACCATGTGATACAGTTTGCCTAGGCAGGAATCCGCAGGATCTCATTCTTTCAAGGATACTTCAAATGGACTTAGCATTCACATTAGTCAGTTTGGCCCATGTCTGTATTTCCAAGTCACGTTTTAAGTGCTCATTTACTAAGGTTTCTGCTTGTTAACAGAGGTGTACAAAGATTGTTGACATAACAAGGAAGCCATATTTTGAATTTACCAGTTTTAAATTGAAAGTTGGCTACAAACTAAATGCTATTACAATATAAGCTATAATACGCCATTTTATCCTTGACCTCTTCTGTCTCCTAAGGTTTGTGTAGAAAGTTTTAAAACCTGCATAAATCTAATCATTAAAGTGCCCTTGCTCACCTGATGTTCTGGCCAGACCCAGCAGCTTGTGGCTCACATAATCACCATGTCAACAAAGCGGTTATGAATGAATTCATTCATAACAGCTCTGGTGCCTATACAGTGATTGGCCCACAGCTCTCACATGTACCTGAGCCATTCGCAGCACCCTGTACCATGCGAGCAGCTGTAGCCAAATCACAGGTCAGTAGTAATCATGAATGTAACCCAAATATGACAGTTAAACACTGCTGTTACCATGAAGATCCCAGTTCTCCCTCCCAGAGTAGTAGAGTGTTACTAGGGTGACATTGAACTACTCTACTGAAAGTATGTGTAAATAAACATTGAATCCAATTTTTTTTTTTTCTTGAACAAAAATTGAGACAATTACAACTTCAAAAAAACTCGCCATGCCTCTTACTAAATATCTCAGAATGTGTACTTTCCAAAAAGGAGCTCATCTGGGGGTATACGCACTGTCCTGACATTTTAGGGCCTGAAGAAAAGATGAGTAATCACAACTGATCAACTTTGAAATAGATATAACAGTTTGTAGATGCTATAACTTTCACACAAACCAATTCATTTTTCTTTTACTAAAGACATGTAGCAGAGTACATGTTGGCCTAAATTTAGGAAGAATATTTTTTTTTACTGGATGTTTTATAACAAATTAGAAAATATATTTTTATATTATCTAAATGGAAGACTAGAGAAAAAAATCCAGTGGTGATTAAACAAAAAAAAAAAGTTTCAATGGTGTGAAAAAAAAAAAAATTTCATCTGGGTACAGTGTTGCATTACCGCACAATTGCCAGTTAAAGTAGCACAGTGCCAAAGAGCAAAAAATCACCTGTTCATGAAGGAGGTCAAATCTTTCAGAGCTCAAGTGGTTAACTGGTATCTGTATATAATACATTCACCTTTAATTTTTGAGCTAGTCATGTCCTAATAATCTACTAGCATGTTGAATGAAAACAGAGCTTTTTATTATTTAATGAATCATAGATATTACAAAAGGATTAAAAAAAAAAAAAAAACAGGATCCAGTCCCAACACTCTACAAATAATAACGAAAACAATTAGAGCACATACGTGACATGCACTGAAGAATCATTTACCCACCACCTGCATAGTAGGCTCCCTCTGGTGCAGCATCTTATTTTAAGAATGGTTACCATCTCCATGAATAGCTGCAGTAGGCTCCCAAAGATCCTATGCAAACATGGTTCTGATTTTTATATGCATGTGACAGGTGCTCTTTAAGACTTAAGGCACATTTCCCTCCCCAATAACAAAAGATGGCTGTTCAACAAGAACCAAATTCTGCTATCCACTTTTCATACTTTTCAATATCTGATGCAGATACTGATTTAGACACTTTCTTTAAAGCCACTTCAAAATCTTCCATTGTGGTAGGCATGTGCATGTCATCTTTTGAAAGATTTCGAATTTCTTCTGGAGTAAGCCCTTCAATACGTCTTCTCATTGCCATCAAAGAAGCGTCTCTGTGTAGATAAAAATACAGTGTCAGTTCCAAACCACTATTTAGACATATTCTATCATGAAAGTTAGTACTATGAAAGTTTGTTGTACACAAAGTTTTGGTCATTTACAGGATCCCTGCATTGAATGAAATATGCATCATTTTAGGTATCCAGGTCTCTAGCTTTGATCATTTCACAATCACTGTTCCAGTAAAAGCATAAATGTTCAGGCTTTCACTTCTGCCATTTCCTACACGCTTGTTAGAGGCAAGGATACAAATTCATTCATAAATGAGCAAACAGGTAATTCTAGAACATGTAAAGCCAATTTAGGATTTATGGTATTCATCTACCTGGTTGTGCAGATGTTAAAAGGTATGTCAATTACTGACTAGCTAACAGTTTCAAATGCTAGCAGGTAATAACATTCTGTTTTTCAGCCCTATATTCACATTTGCCTGGAGCACTTTTTGAGTGCCTTACAGTATTCAAAAACCCTTTGCAAAAGGGGTGGAACATCTAACATGTTCCCAAAGGTGAACTTCTCCTTTAAACACAGCTGTATCTATAGAATTATTTCTATTTCATGTTTGAGCATGTGTAAGGATGAATGAAAAGAAACACTCATAACCAAGCTTATGATGATACTATCCTTTCTTGCAACATCAAATGTCTTTAAAATGAATTAGACTATTAATCCTTGCCTAACCAGGTATCACTGACTTACAAATACACGTTTTGCAATAGGATATAAAGCAAACTAAATTATAATGGGATATAGACACAACCTAGGAGGCAGGGCACTAAAGAATGTTATTTCTACTGAAAAGGTCTGCCTTCCAGCATTGTTTTTTTTTTTTTTTTTTTTTTTTTTTTTTTTTAAATTCAAGCTTTTTTTGTAGTGATGAAGAGGTTTTCAATATATGTACTGTCAATTATTAGGGAAAAATCCTGGTCCACTTTCTCAGCCATGCACTCCTTCACCAGCTTTCCAACCAGAGAAATTTGTCAGATCATTGTTACCAAAGAAGAATAGGGCCAACTGGTCACCTTCTTCCCCATTAGCTTTGAAAGCAGAGAAAGGATAGAGTCTCTTTATGGTGGAAAAAGAGTATTCTATTGCCACACAATTCTTTTCAACAACTATCTCCATTTAACATTTTTTGTATGTTTCTTAGCTGTGAAAAGGCCACCCTTGTGTAGATATACAAAGCCCAGAGAATGCAGCTGTGGTTAAAAGGTACCCCCACATTTTCCACCCCAATCCATACAATTTACATTAGCTCACAGGTGTTACCCTAAGCAACAGAGTTCAAAGTGCACCTGCAGTCTTTTTTTTTTTTTTTTTCCTTCTGTTGATTGCATGTTGCAGGTGAAACAGTCACCTTGTTAACCCTGAAAATTATGTAACCAGGAGACAACCAGGGCACCAAAGTTCAGGTTGGGCATTGGCCTTCAAGGATTTCTGTTTATCAGTTGTTAAAGGGCAGCTTTCCAATTTTATACTATTATCCTCTAAATTCCCTGCTTCCCTTGACTTTGTGACTTACAACTGGGTAACTTCCTTCAAGGCTCATTTATACATTTTTCAACATTAAAGTGTTACTAAACCCAGGACTTGCATTCACTATATCTGGTCTCCCACAGTACACACAACATGGAAATGCAATTATTTTAGTAAATATAAACTTCTAAATTCCTTTTCTCGTCAGCAGTTAGAGCAGTCTTGTGACTTAAAGCTTGTAGGAAGAGTTTTCTCTCTGCTTTAGGAGGATGTAGAACCTCTGACTTCTGTCTGGACAGTGCTGACTGGCCCTGTGTTGCTCACATGCACTCTCTCAAGAAAACAATAAAAAAAAAACCTCTCTAGCAATACACACCAAACTGAGCATGGGCAGAGTGTCTCCACACAATAGGTCTGATCAAGAGATAAAGGGGGACACTGGAAGGGGAGGATCAGATAAGTCCGGATCAAACCGGCCTTTTTACACAATGCAGAGGATTAACCCCTTCTGTTCCACAGTAAGTATACCATGCACTGTTTACTGCATAAACAGACTGATTTTACTGTCATGAGTTTGGCAACATTAACGTCAACTTGAAAGAGCTCATATCTTTCTTTGCAGTACAACCTCCCTAATTTAAAGGGCACGTATAGTGGTTTTGTATACATTCTTTTATATTGTAAGGTAAATATGAAATACTGCATATGACTATTATGTGTTTCTTTTATAACCAGCGGGTGCAGTTTTTAGGTACCTTTGTTTTCTTATGCCTCTACCATTTGTTAAAAAAAAAAAAAAAAAAAAGCGGCCTACTTACAAAACCTCGGTAGCAGCAAGTCAGAGGAGGGATGCATTCCTTATAAAACTACTCCATCCAAGGCTTTCATCAAAATGAGCCTCAAAGCAGGCAGCTACTGTTACACGATTTAGGTAGCCCATGGTGTTCCGGGAACCCTTTCTTATGTAACACTTTATATACAAATATTTGTAAAACATCTCATCTTTACATATGAGAGCCACAAGAAATTAGGACACTTTCACTGAAAGTTTCCTTCATTGCTTAAGTAATGTTACATTTAAATGTAATCTCCATGATACCATGTTTACAATATATGACATACCTGCACACATTAGTTATATCTGCACCTGAGTAACCCTCCATGTTATGTGCTATACTTGCAACATCAACATCATCTGCAAGCTCCAGCTCTTTAAGGTTTATTCGCAGGAGCTCCTCTCTTCCTGTAGCTGAAAAACAAAAAAAAAGGTAGGTTTATCACATGTGCATTTTGATATAAGTAATACAACCCTCCTTCCCTCTCCCCCTCTGTTCCACCTTCCTATAGGTAACACCTCCCTTTCTCTTATTCCACATTTTTTTGTGACTGTAGTTTTTGTTCTGTATACTTGGCATGTTTGAATGCTAACCAATAAGTTTATTGATCATATTTGAAAAACTTTGATTTCAAATATATTTAAACTAAAAATACAATCCAATTTCAGCTCCCAGCCTTCGTTGTCAACTTTTTGTTGCCCTAAAACACAGCTATAATAGTGGTTCTCAAGGTACCCTAACCCCTCGGTCACATCAAGCCCGACTTTGAGATCGTGCAACTTACAATGAAGTCGCACGATTTCAAAGTCGGGGGACATGCCGATTACACATGCGATTTGTAAGACATCTGACATGTCTACGCAAATCGCACCAAAAGTAGTACATGTACAACTTTAGAAATCGGTGTGGCTCTGACCAAAAGGGAACAGCACCAATTTGACCGCTGTAATTGCGGACAATAGGGTGCGACTTGGCATATGATTTGCACCCGTTGTGACCGGGGTGTAACATTGCATGGTTTCCACAATGCCAGATGAGCACGTCACTGCAGGTTTTATTGCTGCCTGTGTCCTGCAGTCACTGAAGGGAAGAGAGAAAGATGTCTTCTGAGATTTCTGTGTCAGTGGCCACAGGTTCACTTCTACAAAATAGGTCACCTGTTAAAGAAGTATGTATGTATGTATCCATGGTCACAGGTGTATAAAATCAAGCACCTAGGCATGCAGTCTGCTTCTACAAACATTTGTGAAAGAATGGGTTGCTCTCAGGAGCTCAGTGTATTCAAGCGTGGTACCGTGATAGGTTGCCTCCTGTGCAATAAATCGATCCGTGATATTTCCTTGCTACAAAATATTCCACGGTCAACTGTTTGTGGCTGAGTTTCTGCTGTTCCCAGTTGCTTCCAGTTTGTTATAATACCACTAAGTGGTAGGCCACGTAAAAAGACAGAGCGGGGTCAGTGTATGCTGAAGCACACAGTGCACAGAAGTCGCCAACTGTCTGCAGAGTCAATAGCTAAAGACCTCCAAACTTTGCGTGGCCTTCAGATCAGCACAACAACAGTGCGTAGAGAGCTTCATGGAATGGGTTTCCATGGCCGAGCAGCTGCATTCACGCCTTACATCACAAAGTGCAATGCAAAGGTGTCAGATGCAGTGGTGTAATGCACGCCACCACTGGACTCTAGAGCAGTGGAGACGTGTTCTCTGAAGTGACGAATCACGCTTCTCTGTCTGGCAATCCGCTGGACATGTCTGAGTTTGGCAGTTGCCAGGAGAACAGTACTTACCTGACTGCATTGTGCCAAGTGTAAAGTTTGGTGGAGGGGGGGATTATGGTTTGGGGTTGTTTTTCAGGGATCGAGGTTGGCCCCTTAGTTCCAGTGAAGGGAACTCTTAAGGCATCAGCATACCAAGATATTTTGGACAATTTCATGCTCCCAACTTTGTGGGAACAGTTTGGGGATGGCCCCTTCCTGTTCCAACATGACTGTGCACCAGTGCACAAAGCAAGGTCCATAAAGACATAGATGAGCGAGTTTGAGTTCTGACCTCAACCTGATAGAACACCTGGGATGAATTAGAGCGGAGACTGCGAGCCAGGCCTTCTTGTCCAACATCAATGCCTAACCTCACAAATGTGCTTCTGGAAGAATGGTCAAACATTCCCATAGACACACTAAACCTCGTGGACAGCCTTCCCAGAAGAGTTGAAGCTGTTATAGCTGCAAAGGGTGGGCCAACTCAATATTGAACCCTATGAAAACTGGGATGCCATTACCCACTTGCCCTCCAGAGGATTTACCCCCCTTCCTGACCAGGCCGTTTTTTGCATTATGACGCTGCGTTACTTTCACTGACAATCGCGCACCCAAATTAAATGTATGTCCTTTTTTCCTACGAATAGAGCTTTCTTTCTGTGGTATTTGATCGCCTGTGCGTTTTTGTTTGCGCTATAAAAAAAAAAAAAAAAAAGACTGACAATTTTGAAAAAAAAAAAAAAAACCCAAAATATTTTGACTTTTTGCTATTAAACATTTCCAGTACAAAAAAAAAAAAAAATTTAAAAATACAAAAATTCGGCATAAATTTTGGCCAAAATGTATTCCGCTACATGTCTTTGCAAAAAAAATCTCAATGCGTGTAAATTAATTGGTTTATGTGAAAGTTATAGCTTTTACAAACGGAGGTATATCTACTGGGATTTTTTTTTTTAAGTTTAATTTTTATTAGTAATGGCGGCAATCAGCGACCTATAGTGGGACAGTAGTGGGCATTCTGTCACTGGGGGAAACTGACTGGGTGTCACTGACATCCCCAGTGACACCAATACAGTGATCAGTGCTAATAAAAAGCACTGGCACTCTAATAATGACACTGGGCAGGAAGGGGTTAACGTGGGGCGATCAAAGGGTTAACTGTGTGCTGTTTTACCGTGTGCTGTGTGTGTGCTTCCCTGTAAACACACTGCTTTGCATGGCTCTGCTATGCAAAGCCATACATAGCACTGTGCAGGAGCTGACAGGGGAGAGAACTGTATTGTTTACTTACAGTTCTCTCCCTCCGCCAGTAATGCTCCTCAATCACCAGCCGAGACCTGGTGATTGACAAAGGACGCAAATAGCGGCACGGGCCCCCTACCCAGAAATGCAAAATCATGTATGGTGTTGCGTACCCCTGCCACCCTGTAGCAGTGTATCTGCCAAAGGGCTGTGGTAAAGCGGTTAAAGTGCATGTGGGTGTAAGGTGTCCCAATACTTTTGGCAATATAGTGTATGTATATGGGGCTGCCATATTTAAATTAGGCTTAAGCTTTTTACCGAGCAAAAAGAAAAACACAAATTCCAGATCTCCATTAGTAGCAAATGTGGTACTATTGCAAAATTTCATATTCACCTGAGGGTAATGGAATGTAAATCCTTTTCTCCAAACGTCTTCTCAAAGCTTCATCAATATCCCACGGAAAGTTGGTAGCTGCTAGAACCATTACCATTTTAGATGGGTCCTCACTCTCAGATGCACCGCCTACACCTAGGATAGAAAGTACAGAAAGAACATAGTACAGTGTGAAAAAAGGAATTTAAAAATATTGTTAATTTCTCAGTATATGGTAAAAAATCTGAACATGGTATGTATTAAAACAGATCACCAAACAAAAGCTTTATGTCCCTAAAAAAACAAAAGTGAAATTATTTAGTTAAAATTTGTATCAATCTATGTTATTACTTTAAAAAACTGGATTTTTGTAGTCATTGCAAAATCCTTTTCTTAGAGTCTATTTATAAGCAGTCCTAAACCTTTGGGTAATACGGTCATCTATGGAAGGACTGAACACTGTCAAAAAAAAGAACTGTAGGCCAGCCCAGGCTAACCCCTCCCACTATGAGCATGCTTCAGTTTTGTAGCAAAGCAGTATACAGAGCATGATCAAAAACACAGAGGGGTGGAACCTTTGTCCCTTAACCGTTAGCCTACAAGGCACTTATAGCCCCTTCCTGCCCAGGCCAATTTCCAGCTTTCAGCGCTGTCACACTTGGAATGACAATTGCACGGTCATGCAACACTGTACCCATATGAAATTTTTATCTTTTTTTGAGACAGATAGAGCTTTTATTTGGTGGTATTTAATGACCTCTGGGTTTTTATTTTTTCTTAAACCAAAAACCACAGAAAAATTTGAAAAAAAAAACCCCAAAAGGTTTTTTCTTAGTTTTTGTTCTAAACTTTTGTAAATAAGTGATTTTTCTCCTTCACTGATGTGCGCTAATGAGGCTGTAGTGATGGGCACTGATAGGCTTCACTGATGGACACTGATAGGTGGCACTGATGAGGAATTGGTAGGTGGCACTGATGAGGAATTGACAGGCATCACTGATGGGCACTGAAAGGCAGCACTGATACGTGGCACTGATTGGCATTGATAGGTGGCACTCATGGGTGACACTGAAAGGCAGCTCAGATGGGCACTGATATGTGGCATTGATGTGCACTGGTAGGCACTGATATGTGGCATTAATGTGGCACTAAATGATAAAACAGACTGCACTAGTAAAACCGTGTCCAAAAAAAAAATGTAGTAAATAAAAAATGTATATAATCACATATAACTCATATAAAGTCCCAAAATAACTCTTAAAATGGTGTAACTGATGAAAAACGTGTTCAAACAAAATCCACCAAGTGCCAATCCACCATCAGACAAAATGAATGAACTCACCAGACCAATATGCTGATAATGTTATAAATCAGCATAAACGCTTTCTGCTCTGGAAGCAATAATCTGCAGGCTGATGAGACAATGCTTGAAATGAGATATCAACTGATATCCACTATCCAGGGAGTAATACTCTGCAGGGAATGTGTAACCATATGGATCCATTTCATTCAGAAACCACTGCTTCCATTGGATGTTTAGACCACCACTCGGGATATAAGAGAACAAATGCTCATGGTGCAGTACCTCTAAAATATCTTATTAAAAAACACATTACACTTACAATAAACGGTGTCCTAGCCGACACCAGCACAATCAGCATAATCAGATACAATGGAACGAACCCAGCCTCGCCGCACCAGCCACTGGGAACGTACTGACGTCCCATCAAACAAGCTCCGCCCTACCCATTTCATCATCGTCCTCACGGAGCGGATAGATGTGAGACGCCCCACCCTCATTAAATATTTACTGCACTCAAGGCGGCCAGATGTCAACAATCGGGAATCATGTAGCAAACATGCTACACTAATGACAGATCATCGCGCTCGTACATATAATCTAAAACATGAAGTTACATAAAACCAAAAACATCAAATGGCAGGAAAATGTTGTATGTATTGTATTATATGAAAAAAGCCCATAATTCAACCCCAACAATCAGTATGAAATGCGGGAAACTGCAACCACAAAGATTTAAAGGGCCAGTTAAAACTTAAAGAGGTACTCTAACCAGGAGATTATCTGTATATGAAAAATGTCCACAAAACAGCCACAAATAAGTAATAAAATGCGGAAAAACTCCAAACACAAAACATTTAAAGGGCCAGTCCAAAAACTTAAAAGAAAAAACCTCTAGCCATGTGGAGTCTTGAAAAAACATATAATTATTAAATAATTTCTTAAAAATTTGTGAGAAAACAGTTCAGGTCAGTATTGACCTGAGTGATGGTCTAAACATGCAATGGAAGCAGTGGTTTCTGAATGAAGTGGATCCATATGGTTACACATTCCCTGCAGAGTATTACTCCCTGGATAGTAGATATCAGTTGATATCTCATTTCAAGCATTGTCTCATCAGTCTGCAGATTATTGCTCCCAGAGCAGAAAGCATTTATGCTGATTTATAACATTTTCAGCATATTGCTCTGGTGAGTTCATTCATTTTTTGTCTGGTGGTGGATTGGCACTTGGTGGAGTGGATTTTGTTTGAACACTTTTTTCATCAGATACACCATTTAAGAGTTATTTTGGGACTTTATATGAGTTATATGTGATATATACACATTTTTTATTATTTACTACATTTTTTTGGACACTGTTTTACTAGCGCAATCTGTTTTATCATTTATGCACCTTATAGATATAGGGTAGATTTTGCAGCTGGTATATTTAGAATTAATTTTTTTTTTATAATTTTTTTTTCTGTGTTCACTTTATTGTGAGATATTTTTGTGGCGCCATCTATATTTATCTGTATATTGATGTGGCACTGATGTGCACTGGTAGGTGGCATGGATGAGCACAGAGCTGGCACTGATGGACACTGGCAGGTGGCACTGCTGGGGCTACACCGATCATCAGGGCACACTGATCATCAGTGTACATCGCCCCTCCGAGGAATGCAGACTACCGGCTCTCATCTCCTCACGAGCTGTCAGCGTGACAGCTCGTGAGGAGAGAAATGTCGATAACCAGCATTTCCCTGTTTACATGCGATCAGCTGTGACTGGACACAGCTGATCACATGCCCGAGCCGACATCTTCGGCTCTTTCCGTGGATAGGTGATCCGCTGTGTCCGAGGGACACAGCGCACCGCCGACTGCCGTGCTGCGCGCTCTCGGAGCCGCGCATGCGCGATAAGAATGGGAGGACGTCATATGACGTCCTCCCAGAACAAAGAGAACCGCCTTGCGTCCATCATTGGACTATATGGCGGGCGGGAGGCGGTTAAAGGGCTCCAAGAAACACATTTTTTAGTGAGTACAAAGTTTCTTTTCTCTTTTTTGTTCATTTAAGGGCACAAGAAGTAAAACCTTTGTGACATCCAAAAGTACTCTAAATGAAAAGTGAGCAACAAAGCAAACAATTGCTAAAACTACAAAAAAAAAAAAAATAATAATAATTGGGGACTGCCAAGAAGTTATAGTAAGCACCCTATTAGCCAGATCCACAGTTGGAACGGACCACTCCTCCACAAAATTCTCACAAAATGAATAAAAGGATAATAAGCCTTTAGGAAATAACAGGCTAATATGGGTGCCTTCCCTCACCCCCACCCCCCTTCCTTCCCCCTCCGGGGGAAAACCGTACAACTGATAACATGTGAGGGTCAGATGGCCAAAGGTGGCTAACCAGTGGGATACAGAAGGGAAATAATTTATGTGAAATGTTAATATTTTATGAATATCCTATATATATTAAATAAAAGAATGTTTTGTGAATTAATTTTAGTCATTGAACTAACTGAACTCATCTATGATGTGACTTATGAAGAGTTCTCAGTGTAGTGACCATATAATTAGAAACAAAAGGTGGTTACCATCCATCTGCACCAAAAGCTCTGCTTTAACTCTCCTGCTGGCTTCATGCTCTTCTGAGGTGCCTCTGCGGCTGCAAATTGAGTCAATCTCATCAATAAATATGGTTGTTGGGGCATAGAATCTGGCCTAAATGTAAAAATTGCAGTTAGAACAAAATATTTTACAACCTAAAGATATCAAAGCTGAACTCTAGACAAACAGTTAAGCAAACCAGAAATACATATTTAGGAGCAGCTTTACCGGCCAAAGGATTTGTATATATGTTTTGTCATCTCAGAATGACAGCCTCAGACAGTCCTGACATTTAGACAATCCTTAAAGACAGCACAGCAAGCCAGATGACCTAAATTCTTTTCTGCATTTAAAGTGCTACTAAACCCAGAGCCCTGCATTCACTATATCTGGTCTCCCACAGTACACACTACATGGAAATGCAATTATTTTAGTAAATATAAATTTCTAAATACCTTTTCTCACCAGCAGTATAAAGCAGTCTTTTGACTTCTATCAGTGTCTAACTGAGCACTGCTTAAAGCTTGTAGAAGGAGTTTTCATTCTGCTCCGAGTGTCCTATGAGTCTGCAAAACCCCTGACCCTTTTTCCGGACAGTGCTGATTGGCCCTGTTCTGATCACATGCACCCTTCCAAAGAATAAAGAAAAACCACTAGCCATACACACTAAACTGAGCATGTGCAGGGTGACTCCTAGAGCCCTGTACTATCAGCAGATGGATTGGGGACAGTAGACGGGGAGGATCAGAGAAGACAGGATTAAACAACCTTTTTACACAATGTGGAGGACTAACCCCTTAGGTTCTACAGTGAGTATAACAAGCATGCTTTACTGCATATACAGACAAATTTTACTGTTGTGGGTTTAGTAACACTTTAAGCAACAAACCTGAGTCACCCCCTGCCCTCTGCCTACTACTGCACAGTGAAATACAGCAACAAATTGACGAGCTCCCTTCTCTGCTCTCTATTCCTCTCACATTCTTTGTCATCACACTTTCATGTAGCAGAACCTAACTGGTCTCTAGCACCGTTCTTCCCTAGTATGAATGGTTCTGTACAGAAGATTGCAAGGGGCTATAATCAAATCAAATTCAGGTTTTTATACTGGTTTCAAAAAAGTATTTAAGGTTTTTTTAAATACATAAAATGCATTACTATGATATTCCAATGTATGTATATTTAAATCAGGAAATCAATGGATATTAACATGTATGATAGCAGCCTAATAAAGCCAAAGAAATCATTGGATAAAGCTAGCAAATTTTTTGGTCTTAAAGTATAACTAAAGTCAAAACTTTTTTAATTTTGAGTCCAATTGGATTAGAAAGCCCATCATTTTTTATTGCTGTGTTCCCATTAAGTACATTTACCCTCATTTATTTCGTGTTTACCATTATCATTGAAAGTGAAAGTAAAAGAAAATCTCAAACTTTGGGTTGTCCCAAGAAAAGTAATAGAGGGGAAATCAACCAATTGGACCACTAGTTCTGGTGACCTGGAAGTGCCCGAGGGATTCCCTTAATTTAAGGATATCCTCTCACTTCCTGTTTTGGCTATGGGACAGGAAGATCAGGTACATTTTCCCAATGGGACGGATTGCAAATAACTGACAGGGATTATTAATCCTTCCCTACTCTGTCCAAAATTTAAAAAAAAGTTTTGCCTATAGTTACATTTAAAACATTCACACAAGCAGAACAAATAATTACCATATTGTTTACAATACGATTACGTCCCAAGACTACAGTATTTTTTCTAAAATAACTCAAAGAAAAAAAAAAAACAGATAGACCTGACAATCATAGAAGATAATCAGAATACAAACAAAACTGATCATGTTTAACACATCCACACTGCACATTTTTCAATACACAGAGCCTAATGCAAATGTGAATAAAATGGTCAGGTTTAAAAATGGAATTTGGAAAAGTTTCGAAGAGCAACAAGGACAGAAATGCACTCGCATAAAAGCCTTTTCTGTTTGTTGAATGGAGGACACAACTCTACTTTACATCACCTACTGGGTATAGTACCATCTGCAGGTGTAGATCAGCAAGTACAGCTGAAAAAAAAACAAAACAAATAAGACAACGCAAGGGCGGAACATGCCATGGAACTACCAATACATTAAATGTCACTGTCCAACAGCCCTTTGCTCTTGCTGCAAACCTCCCTTTTATTTGAGGTTCAACGCCATAAAATCAATATCTGGCATTCCACATCACTTTCAGAATTCTTGCAAGGCTTCAAGGGTAAGTGCCCACTCTACCTGATCCAGAACTGAAATAGTCCACTTGCCACTTTTATACCCTAGTATTGTGTACTGTGGATGGAGCTGGCTGGTACATGACTCTACCCAGCTCAGGATGTGAGATACTTCCATTGCTGCTGCTGCGTTTTAGGTTCCCTCTTCCCCAATGGTTTATGTTGTGGACAATGTTCTATTGCTGTCCAATTATAATCACACAAGGTGTCCCTCCAGGAGGCGGGTGCGTACAGTGAAGCACATTCCTTCTCAGCCCATTCATGGGCTACAGGGTTCCCACAGGCTCCAAGAACCCTGAGTGGACCAGAGACCCAGTATTTCTCCCCAGCTATGGCATATGTCATTACTATTTTCCAGCACAGAAGGAGAAAAAACTTCCCAGGAAGCAGCAGGAGACGTCAGAGTGACCCAATGAAAGATGACTTAGAAGTCTTACCTTGCTCTGTCTGTCCAAAGACAAAGGATATGTGCTCCACTGAGACAAGATCTCATGCTGCAACATTCTGATGTGCTGTTAAGCATAAGAAATCATTGCGAAGACTGCTACCATGAGACCCAAAACTTGCATACGGTGACAAATGAATGACTACCTTCAAGCACGGAGTAGAGTAAACATGAAGTTGTCATTTCTGTAGTTTTTCCATTAAAAGGGACACTTGACCTGGCTGGTATCCAAGATCAGCCCATGGTATTCCACACAAAGTGAAAGTGAACTTATTCCAGTTTTGTGGGGTGGGGGGGGGTTTTACTGTCTTGGTTTTAACTTGTACAACGCGCCCTACTCCTGCAGGTGGCACCAAGTTGGCGTGACCTAAAGCAAACCTATGTCCTCCAATTGTCTCAAATAGAGTAGGGTCAGGTTAGAGCGCCTGTCAACTTCCTATTCTAGTTATAGTCTTTATAAATTACAGAATTTTTTCATTTTGAGCCACTTCACTCTTTGTTTTGTTTGATTTTTGGATCACTGTCAAGAGCCAGTCTTTTGAGTTCATATCAAGGGATTTGTATGTGAAGAAGTAGACATACACCTTGGATTTCAAAGACGACCAAACGATTACAATCCTTCTTAGTGCTTTTATAGAAAAGCAACCCTACCCTGTTGCGGTATTTTGAGGGGACAGCAAATTTACACTGTTATACAAGCTGTACACTCACTACTTTACATTGTAGCAAAGTGTCATTTCTTCAGAGTTGTCACATGAAAAGATAATAAAATATTTACAAAAATGTGAGGGGTGTGCTCACTTCTGTGATACTGTATATGTATTACAATGAGGGTGTGTGTATAAGTATATACTCTGTGAATATGCACTTTGTATTATAAGACTAGCATACACATGTTGAAGTGTGTTTGCAGGAACGAGGTTGTGTGCAATATGTGAATTTCTTCTTCCTAAAAACACTTGTTTTCAAGCACAGAAGTTTTGCTGCCAAATGCTTGTACCTTTCCATATATAAACATGAACACTCTGGTTCAGAACTGCTTCTTGAGTTAAATTGGAAGTTGCCTACACACCATTTCAAACAGAAGGCGAACAAGCTTCTCAGATTCCCCTCTGTACTTAGATGTGAGAGTTGAAGAGGAAATGTTGAAGAATGTAGTCTTGCACTCTGTTGCAACAGCTTTAGCTAAAAGTGTTTTTCCTGTTCCAGGTGGACCGACCATTAGTACACCCTAAGAAAAAAAAAAAAAACAAAAAACCAAAAAAACAACAAAATCAAAATAAAATGCTTATTACCATTTTTGGAGACATACAGCAGCAGTTTATCTGCTTAAATACACAACTATCAGGTTTGATTTTTCTGTAACTATAGGAAAGGTTTCTGTTCCCTTTTCTCTGTGGTCCCTGTGTGGTTTAAAGTATGTAAAAAGTGAGCTTAAATAAGAGCAAGGAAGACCGAGAACCTTCTTTTTGCCGTTTATGTCCCTAGTGGTGAAATCTCTCTTTGTGTATGGCCACCAGGATAGGAAGTGCGGTGAGATGGCTATAAACGTTTCAGAGGTCATAACCTTTTCTCACCCCAACTCGTGTTTGCAATCAGATTTAAAGGATAAGTTCACCTTTTTTTAAATAAATGCACTTTTGTTTGCAGGTAAAAAAAAAAAAAAATGTGCGTTTATTATTTTTAGGAGACTGCAGAGCATTGCACTTGCAATCAGCAGATTGCGGATGCAACGCCAGGCTCCTGCAGACTGTCAATGCATCTGTCTGCTTGTACCTTATTCGGGCAGCCAGTTACACGATGAAAGGAGAAATAATTTAACTACCTAGTAAGCTCACCAGTGCCCTGGTAGTTCATTGAGAATTACAAGCTGTCGGCTGCAAAGGCCGACAGTAGTTTTAGTTCTCCCATTTATATAACTGTGTGACTATGTATGTGTGGAGAAGATCCCTAACCTGCTATCTCAAGGAGAAGGGTGGGGGGGGGGAGGGATCGGGGCTGAGAGCTGTAGGAACACCCTAAAAATGGGTGGAAAATGTAAAGTTCCCGAAAGTCAATTTATCCTTTAACCACCTCCCGCCCGCCATATAGTCCCAAGACGGGCACAAGGTGGTTCTCTCGTTCTGATAGGCCGTCTTTTGACGGCCTTCCATTCTCACCACGCATGCATGACTCAGGGAGCGCGCAGCACGGCGATCGGCGGTGCACTGCGTCCCTCGGATACAGCGGATCACCGATCCACGGAAAGAGCCGAAGATGTCGGCTCGGTCATGTGATCAGCTGTGTCCAATCACAGCTGATCACATATAAACAGGGAAATGCTGGTTATCGACATTTCTCTCCTCTCGAGCTGTCACGCTGACAGCTCGAGAGGAGAGGAGAGCCGGAATTTGGCGTTCCGCGGAGGGGACATGTACACTGATCATCAGGGCACTGACTATCAGTGTTCCCTGATGATCAGTGTGGCCCCAGAAGTGCCACCTGTCAGTGTCCATCAGTGCCAGCTGTCATTGCTGAACAGTGCCACGTGCCAGTGCCACATATCAGTGCCTACCAGTGCACATCAATGCCACATATCAGTGCCCATCTGAGCTGCCCTTCAGTGTCACCCATCAGTGCCAGTCAGTGCCACCTATCAGTGCTGATCAGTGATGCCTGCCAATGCCCATCAGTGCCACCTACCAGTGCCTCCTCAGTGCCCATCAGTGCCACCTATCAGTGTCCATCAGTGCATCTGATCAGTGAGCATTTTTTTTTCTCTAAATTTTCAGTGGTTTTTGGTTTAAGAAAAAAGAAAAAAACCCAGACGTGATTAAATACCACCAAAATAAAGCTCTGTCACAAAAAAAATGATAAAAATGTCATATGGGTACAGTCTTGCATGACCACGCAATTGTCATTTAAAGTGTGACAGCGCTGAGAGCTGGAAATTGGCCTGGGCAGGAAGGGGGTATAAGTGCCCTGTAGGTAAGTGGTTAAAGTACATCCAATCCATTATTCTGCATTGTTTACCTTCCACGGTCTTCTGATTCCCTTGAAGAACTCTGGCATCCACATTGGAAGTACTACAGCTTCCTTCAACAATTTCTTGGCTTCTTCCAAGTCTGCAATATCATCCCTAGGTATAAAGTATATATAGCATTAGAACAACAAATAATGAGCAAAGAATAACCTTCCAACATAATGCATTTTAAAGGTTGAAACAACTGACTGATAATATTCTACATACCTTGCATAATTTCAAGGGACAAGCACCACCTGTTTTTAGCTCTGCTTTATGTAACATTTTACAACAGCCAACAGAATTTGAGCAATAAAAATGCAAAGTGCATACAGAAATCAGATTCAGCAGCACATTTCAGCTATCAGAAATGTTAAAAGAAGATGTGGGGCCAAAGCTCTTTTGGCCCTACTTCTCCTGTAGGTCACAGGAGTGTACTTTGTTCTGCATTCCTATTACCCGTATTCAGCTGACAGCGGGCTACAGCCCTCTGTTGGCCAACATCACTCAGCCAGTCCAGACTCAAGAGATCCAGACTTTAATGTTGGGATCCACCTAGATGCCGGGACTGGCAGCTGGCCCAGCCTCTCAGCGAGTTAATGAGAGCCTGAGCCAGCTGCTCCCCCCCTCCACAGTCTGACACTCCAGTGATCGCTAGAGGGGCACAGCAGAGAGCAGTGACAGTCACTGGCTCTCTGCTCACGGAATATAAAATGCAATTGAAACAGCGCTCTTCAATTTAATATATATCTAGATAATATGGGTGAGTGAACACAAACCATGAAATAATGTGAAAAAATAGTATAGTAACAAAATCAGTAAAAAACCAATCAGTGAACAACTTAAAATCAAAATATAAAAATGTATGAACCAGTGTCCAACAAAAAATATATATAATTAATCGTGAAAATATGTGTCAAACATTATAAAAATTGTAAAAAAGTGTCCAAAATATATATACAAAATTCGTTCGTGACCAATATATCTTCTTTAACTTATCATAGAATGCGAAAAAAAAACGTGAAAAATCCACCACTAAATGAATTGAATAAACTCACCAGAGCTCCATGCTGGGAAAATACCAACAAGCTATACTCGCTTGTGCTCTGGAAGCAATAATTTGCAGCAAAACACACCAGCTGATGAGAAATCCTTGAAATAGCAATTGGATGCTCGGAGGTGACGTCACCACACACGGGTGAGCTGCCATTGTCTGCTTAGACCAGAACAATACCTGTCAGTGATTGTATATGCCTGTAATGCTAGTGTCAGCTCTGACACTGATCCATGTGAGTTGTTTTAACCACTTGCCTACCAGGCACTTATACCCCCTTATTTACCAGGCCAATTTTGAGCTTTCAGTGCTGCCGCACTTTGATTGACAATTGTGCGGTCATGGAACATTGTACCCATATGAAATTTTGATCATTTTTTTCTCACAAATAGAGCTTTCTTTTGGTGGTATTTAATCGCCACTGGGCGCTTTACTTTTTGCGCTATAAATAAAAAAGTGCAAAAAATTTGAAAAAAAAAAAAAAAAGTTTCTTTGTTTCTATTATAAAATTTTTCAAACAGGTAATTTTTCTCCATCACTGATGTGCGTTGATGAGGCAGGACTGATGGGCACTGATAGGCGGCACTGATGGACACTGATAGGCAGCACTAAAGGGCACTGATAGGCAGTACTAATGAGGTGGCACGGATAGGCGGCACTGAGACAGCACTAAATGAGGTTTCACGGATAGGCGGCACTAATATGCAGCACTGATAGGCGGCACTGATAGATGACACTGATGATGGGTGCTGATAGACGGCACTGACTGGCATCACTGCTGGGCTGACTGGCACTGACTGGCGGCACTGACTGGCACAACCGCTGGGCACTGACTGGTGGCACTGACTGGCAGCACTGCTGGGCTGCACTGGTGGGTGGCACTGGTGGGCAGCACTGGTGGTGGTGGGCACAGGTGGGTGTGCACTGGTGGGCACAGGTGGGTGACACTGCAGAGTGGCACAGGTAGGTGATCTGCTGGGCACAGGTGGGCGGAGCTAGTGGGCGCACTGCTGGGCACAGGTGGGCGGAACTTGCGGGTGGCACTGCTGGGCACCGATCATCAGGGCACTGATGATCGGTGCCGATCCCCGCTCTGACCACTGCCGGTTCTCGGCAGTACTTTCCTCACGATCTGACAGCGTGTGGGAAGTGCAGCCGAGAACCGGCACTTGCATTTCCCTCTGATCAGCATGTCATTGGACACCGCTGATCACGTGGTAAAAGGCCGCTGTGATTGGCCTTTTACCACATCACGTGATCAGCTGTGTCCGTAGGACACAGCGATCACGGAGATCGCCGGGTGCGCCCCCTGGGGCGCGCAGGAGAGCGCGTTCTGGGAGGACGTCATATGACGTCCACTCAGAACTGGCCGGCCGCAGCGCAGCCGTCATTCGGCTATCTGCGGTTGGCAGCTAGTTAAACACGTTTTGCATTCATTAAAGCCTGGCTGTATTTACACTATGTCGATTGCTCTCATCTTTTCCATGTCCCATTCTGGTTATATGTGGAATAAGTGCTATTTTAACGAGTTTCTGAGTATCTGAGGAGTAAGTGCTATTGGGAAGTATATTTGAGAAGCCAATTACTATTTCAAGGATTTCTCATCAGCTGGTGTGTGTTGCTGCAGATTATCACTCCCAGAGCACAAGCGAGTATAGCTGGTTATTTTACCAGCATGGCGCTCTGGTGAGAGTTTATTCAATTCATTTGGTGGTGGATTTTTCACTTTTTTTTTCACATTATATGATAAGTAAAAGAAGATATATTGGTTCACAAACTAATTTTATATATATATTTTTAGACACTATTTTATAATTTTTATATAATGTTTGACATATTTTCATGATTAATTATATATATTTTTTGTTGGACACTGGTTCATATATTTTTATATTTGATTTAAGTTGTTCACTGATTGGTTCATTGAATTTTTTTTACTGATTTTGTTACTATACCATTTTTTCACATTATTTCATGGTTTGTGTTCACTCACCTATATTATCTAGAGATATATTAAATTGAAGAGTACTGCTTCAATTGCGTTTCATATTTTTTATATTCATCACCCTACCTACAGGGGCACCCAGCAGCTCTTCCTGATATATCTGTTTGATATATGCATATTTACTTTTATGAGGAAAGAACAAACAGAGGGTGCACAGGCCTAGTGCGCCCTCTGTTTGTTCTTTCCTCATTCAGTATATTTGGATTTCCCCGGTCTATTGATGGCAGCAAGGTGTGCATGTTCCAGGACATTCTTAAGGTGGTTGTAGCCTGCATCGAGTCCATCCCAAAGTGCAGGAGCATTTGTGTTTACTGGTTCTATATTAAATTTTTATGTTATATTGATTCTATAGGCGCTTTCCCCAATTTTCAAATCATAACTCTGCTCACTGAAGACTGAGTGACCAGTGGTCCTTGATTGCTCAGTTCTTAGTGTAGAAGCAACGGAGGACAGATGCTACCTCCACCAAGGTGAGAATAAATGGTTGGTTTTTTTTTTGTATTGAGAACTTTTTTTTAAATTATTGCTGTGGATTATCACATATTTTTTTATTTATTCAATTACCACAGCACCCCATCTAATACTTACCATCGAATATTGGGATTCTGTGAAATGATGTCCCTTTCAAGAGCTTCTACTAAATCTTTATCATACCCAGTACCATCAAATCTCTTTTGCTCATTCTCAGAAACATCAGATTTGTTCTATTAAACAAAAAAACAAAAAAAGGTAAACGTTTTTATCAAGAGCATTACAAAAGTAGATAATATAATAAAAAACTAGAATACATTTTTAAAACATTCCAAGATGTGAGAAAGGTGAACAAATTGTTTAAAGTAATAACTATGGCCTCCAAGAAAAAAAAAAAAAAAAAACTATTGTGTGCTGTAGCACTAACAACCCAAATTTCCTAAAAGTTGGGATACTGTATAAAATGTACATAAAAATAGAATGCAATAATTGCAAATCTCAAAAGCAAATATTTTATTAACAGAAAATAGAACAGATATCCAATGTTTAAACTGAGAAAACGTACCATTTTAAGAAAATTAAGGCAATTTTTAAATTGATGGCAGTAGCATGTCTCAAAAAAGTTGTCAAAGTGGTACTAACAAGGAAAAACTGGAGGAACATTTTGCAACCATTTAGGTTAATTGGCAACAGGTCAGTAAAATCATTGGGTATAAAAAGAGCATCTTAGAGTCAGAGTGACTCAGAAGTAAAGATGGGCAGAGGTTCACCAATCAGTGAAAAGGTGCATCAAAAAATTGACGAACAGTTTCAGAATAAAGTTCCTCAATGTAAAAAACTGCAAATACAGTGTGTACAGAAAACAATCAGCCCCTTTAAAATAATCACATTTTGTTGCTTTGCAGCCTGAAATGAAGACAGACACAGTTTTTCTTTTCAAAACAATATAAAGAGCGCTCCCAACCCTGTGGAAGTTGTTTTGTGCTCATGTCTCATTGCTAGCCAGATAAGTTGTTGGAGTTACCCATACTGTTGTTATCTACATATCCCCTGGAACCTATTTGCACTTGGTATTTGCACCTTTTAACAGGTTTTGTTTTATCAGCTATATTTACATCCAAGCTGTATCCAGCTGTATAACATCCAAGTGAAAGATATAATACCAATATGTAAGAAAAAAAAAATTCAAAAACAGAATAACTGAGTTGGAAAAATTATCACCCCCTTTGTGTCAGTATCTTGTGGAGCCACCTTTTGTCTGTCAGGATATGTTTCTACTAACTTTGCATATCTAGACTTTGCAATATTTGCCCACTCTTCTTTGCAGAACTACTCAAGTTCAGTTCAATTTGATGGCGGCCATTTGTGGACTGCAGTCTTCAAGTAAATTCCACAGATTTTCAATGGGATTTAAGTCTGACTAGGTCATGCAAGGACATTCACCCTACCATCTTGCCACTCTACCCCATAGCCCAGACATATGAAGAATATGGGAGATTGTTGTCACATGCACCACACAGCCAGTACTTGCCAGATATTCCTGCAGTTCCTATAACCACTTCAACACCAGGCACTTTTACCCCCTTCCTGCCCAGGTCAATTTTCAGCTTTCAGCGCTGTCGCACTTTTTGTTGAAAATTGCGCGGTCATGCAACACTGTACCCATATGAGATTTTTATAATTTTTTTCACACTAACAGCTTTCTTTTGGTGGTATTTAATCCCGTGTTTTTTTTATTTTTTACTAAAAACAAACAAACAAAAAAACCTGAAACTTTTGGGGGAAAAAAAAAAAAACACGCATTTTCTTAATTTCTGTTATAAAATTTTGCAAATAAATAAAATTTTCATAAATTTAGGTCAATATGTATTCTGCTACATTTCTTTGGTGAAGCTACCCCAAATTAGTGTATATTATTTAGTCCGCAGGAAAGTTATAGAGTCCACAAACCAAGGTATATATATCTGACAATTGATCAATCCTGATGTACTGACAGCCCATCATTTCTTGAGGCCAGAAAACACCAGGATAGTACAAATACCCCCCCCCAAATCATCCATTTTTGGAAAATAGACAGTTAAAGGTATTTAGTAAGAAGCATGGTGAGTTTTTTGGAGGTTGCAATTTGTTAAAATTTTTTGGAAAATGTAGAAATTAAAACCTTTTTTTTTTTTTTTATTTACATATGGTCACCAGTCCAGTGCAGCATTATTATAGAACTGGTGTGGCGGTGATCAGAGACACTGACTGGTGACAGTATGTAAAAAAAATAATTTAATTTGTATTCTTTTTTTTCAAAAATTTAAAATGTTTTTTTTACATCCCCAGTTATAAGAGGGTGTGCACACTTATGCCACCATATTATTTTAGTTTTTTTATGTTTACTTCCCCCCCTAAAAGATTTCAGTTTGTTTTTCAATTGCCATGGCGAAAGTTAAAAAAAAAAAAAGCTATTAAAAAAATAGGAAAAGAGCTTTTTAAAAAAATAAATATCTATCTATCTATTTATATTAAGGAACATTATTATTTAACTATTACAAAGAACATAACAGAATACATAAAAAGGAATTCAACCCCCCCAAAAAAATCTTCAAATATGTTAATAGTAAAAAGATAAAGTCTGAGCATGTAGACCCTTTACAAAATAATCTAGAGGGTGACGGAGGACAAAGAGAATACAAATGTATTAAATAATTTAATAATTCTTCAGCTTTGTGCATACAAAAAGGAGCATGGGGGAACTCCAGTCCATAATGGAGATAATGACACAGCTCCAAATGAACCCCTATGGCTCAAAATTTATATGATTCAGAAATATTCAGACAGTATAAAGGTGAAATAAAGCACCTGGACCAGATGGCATACATCCACGTGTCCTAAAAGAATTGCGCTCTGTCATTTCAAAGCTATTGTTTCTCATTTTAGGGACTCCTGTAAGTGGCATAGTACTACTGGACTGGCATAAGACCAATATGACGCCTTTAAGGGTGGTTCCAGAAGCCGGGAGACAGGGCGGGGTTTTGGACCTTGGACAGAGGGGTGGCGGTGGACGTGGTATACTTGGATTTTGCAAAAGTGTTTGACACAGTTCCCCACACACGGCTAATGTGTAAGGTAAAGTCTACAGGCTTGGAAAAATCCATATGTAAATGGCTAGAAAACTGGCTAAAAGATCGTATTCAGAGAGTAGTGGTTAATGATTCATACTCTGAATGGTCTAGGGTTGTCACTTGTGTACCCCAAGGTTCAGTGTTGGGACCCTTACTTTTTAATATATTTATAAATTATATAGGGTCTGCGATTAAAAATCCCATTTCAGTCTTTGCAGATGACACCAAGCTGTGCAGTGGAATAACTTCCTTACAGGATGTCTCCAACTTACAAGCCAACCTCAATGCACTGTTTAATAGGGCAACTATGTGGATTAAATGTTGATAAATGTAAGTTTATGCACTTGAGGGCTAAGAATATGCATGCATCATACATACTAGGGGGGGTACAACTGGGGGAATCAATGGTGGAGAAGGATCTGGGGGTTCTGGTAGATCACAAGCTTAAAGTGTTACTAAACCCAGGACCCTGCATTCACTATATCTGGTCTCCCACAGTGCACACAACATGGAAGTGCAATACAGAGGTTACAGATCATACAATTCCTTCATGATAACATGGGTTCTCCCAACACTATGCCCAGGCCACTGTTTGTTGGGGTTACTTCCAGACCCTGATCTGATAAAAAAAAAACATGACGTTTTTTCTATGGGTGACTGTTTGCTGCACGCAAACTTGTAGCTAAACACTGGATGCATGCCCTACCCCCGTTGCTCACCGAAAGGATTGCAGATGTTAATACTACCCTACCCCTTAGGAAACTGGAATATGTAATTAGGGTCTGTCCCCGTAAATATAATGAAATATGGGATAGGTGGCTGCAGGTCCCAAACACATGTACTTGACTGATACTGTATGTAAGTGAGTGTTTCTACCTGGTAGGGTTTATCTTTGGAAAACTAGAATGCTTAAGATTCACAGCATGTATTATGTACTTGTCATTATGGAGGAATATAGTGCTCATTTGTCCGTACCATATGTTGTTATAGTAGCAGGACCCTCCGAAGCTGAAGGCATGGAACACCACTGCGTAAATTGTACAAACACACAAATATATCCTTGATAATGTCGATTTTCTTTACAATACACCTAACAGTACCAATGACCAATTGGTTGATGTTTGACTGTTCTATTACTAGACCATGTATGCTGCAGTTATTGTACTGTATTGATGTCAATAAACTTGGTCTTTTGTTAAAAAAAATAAATGAAAAAAAAAAAAGCTTCTAATAAGCAGAGAAGTCTCATGACTTCTATCAGTGTCTGGCTGAGCACTGGTTAAAGCTTGTAGGAGGAATTTTTGTTCTGAGGCTGCATGACCCCTGTCTGGACAGTGCTGATTGGCCCTATGTTGATAACATGCACACTCAAAAAAAAAAAAAAAAAAAAAAACTTTCTAGCAATACACACCAAACTGAGCATGTGCAGAGTACCTCCTTAGGGCTCTGTATTATCAGTAGATGGATTGAGGACTGTGGAAGAAGGGGAGGATCAGAGAAGCCAGGATCAGACAGCATTTTTAACACAATACAGAGGATTAACCCCTTAGGCTCCACATTGAGTACAAATTGATTTTACTGTTGTAGGTAAAGTAGCACTTTAGAAGCATTTAACAAAGCAATAAAAATCCTAAGAGATATGGACTGGAGAGAGACATAATTTTTACCCTTTACAAATCATTAGCAACACCTCATCTGGAATATACAGTTCAGTTTTGGGCACTAATTCACAAAAAAGGATATCGAGGAACTGGAGAAAGTGCAGAGAAGGGCAACCAAACTGATAAGAGGCATGGAGGAGCTGAGCTTTACAGTCATCACAGAGGACAAGAGGGCACTCTTTACGTCTGGAGGAAAAGAGATTTAACCTCCAAAAACACAGAAAGGCTTCTTCACAGAGCTGTGAAAATGTAGCATAGACTCCCCTCAAGAGTTGGTTCTGGCCAGCTCAGTAGATTGTTTTAAAAAAAGCCTGGATTCTTTCCAAAATACACAAATAGTAACTGAATATTAAATATTTATAGGTAAAGTTGATCCAGGGAATATCTGATTGCCTGTTCTGGGATCCGGAAGGATTTTTCTCTTTCCTGGAGCAAATTGAATCATGCTTTGCTGGGGGGTTTTTTGCCTTCCTCTGGATCAACTGTGGGTATAGGATAGTGTATATGGTTTTCGATTTGTGTGTGTTTTGTTTGTTTTTTTTTCCTGTAGGCTGAACTGGATTGACAACCAGATTAGCAACGTAACTATGGAGAAGTATGCCTGTATTTATCAGCATCGAGGACACCACTGAACCTGACCAAAATCTCCAACTCAATTTGCAGAAATGCAGCTCCAAACTTGCAAGAAACCTCCACCAAGCTTCACAGTTGCCTGCAGCCACTCACTGTACCACTCTCCAGCCCTTTGGTGAACAAACTGCCTCTTGCTGCAGCCAAGTATTTAAAAAACACCTGCTGCCATTTTTCTACACCCCAGTTACTTTATTTTCATACACAGTTGAGTCACTTAGCCTTATTTCCACATCATAGATATGGCTTTTTGGCCGCAATTCTTCCATAAAGATCACTTCTGGCAAGACTTCTCCAGGCATTAGACAGGTATACCTGTAATCTGCTGCATTAAGTTTCCTTGGCCGACATCTGCATTTACATTCCCCAATATTGCCTGTTTCTTTGTGCTTCTTCAAAAGAGCTTGGACAGCACAGTCTGCTTTGAAATCTTTGCCCAGGAGAGAGTATCTTGTTGCTTTTGCTCAGTCTTGCCATTGTGTATGACCTGTGATGTGAAGTTGTCTTCCACCACCTCAGCTTAGTAGCAGAGTTTGGCTGTTCCTCACCCAGTTTTAAGTCTCCTACACAGTTGTTTCAGTTAAAGTGTTACTAAACCCACAATAGTAAAATCAGTATGTATATGCAGTAAAGCATGCTTGTTATACTCACTGTGGAACCTAAGGGGTTAAAATACTCTGCATTGTGTAAAACTGCGGTTTTATCTTGATTTATCTGATACTCCCCTTCTTCCAGTGTCCCCGTCTTATCTCCTGATAAGACATATCGTGTGGAGTCACTCTGTCCATACTCAGTTTGGTGTGTATTGCTAGAGAGGTTTTGTTTTTCTTGGGAGAAGGCATGTGATCTGCACAGGGCCAATGAGTACTGTCCAGACAGAGGTCAGGCGTTCTGCATCCTCCTACAACAAAATGAAAACTCCTCCTACAAGCTTTAACCAGTGCTCAGCTGGACACTGATAGAAACTACAAGACTGCTATAATTGCTGATGAGAAAACGTATTTAGCAGTTTATATTTACTAAAATAATTGCACTTCCATGTTCAGTTTATTAACACTTTAATGACTGTTTCAACAATACAATGTATGATCATTGGCACCTGCTTGGTACAACTTGTTAATCATACACCTGACTACAAAATCCCTGACTCTGTGCAAGTGTACAAATTGTACAAGCGTAAGAATTGATTCCAATTTGAAGCCAACAAGGTAGTCACACCAAATATTGATTTGATTTAATTTTTCTTCTGTTCACTCACTTTACTTTTTTTTAACTTTACAGCATTTCTTCACACCTGCCTATACCTTTTGCACAGCACTGTATATCTATGTTTTAGAGCAGCATATGCTCAAATCCAGATAATGTATTTTTCAGGGAAGGCCTTGTATATGTCAGCAGAACAATACCGCATCTATGACAACAGCATGGCTTTGGGCGCTTAACTGGCCTGCCTTCAGTCCAGACCTTTCACTAATTTTAAAGATACACCAAATATTTTAACAGAAAATATGACAAACGACCCAGGACTGTGGAGAAGTTAGAATTCTATATCAGGCAATAATGAGAAAACATTCCTCTCCCAAACCTCCAGGTCTCAGTTACCAGTGTTGTTAAAAGAAGAGGGGATGCTACACCGTGGTAAACATGGCCCTGTCCCAACTTTTTTTAATGTGTTGCCACCAATTTCAAAGTGACCTTATTTTATTTTTTCTTAAAATTGTACATTTTCTTAGTTTAAACATTTGAGATATATTTTCTTTTTTACATTGTGAATAAAATATGGGTTTATGAGATTTGCAAATCATTGCATTCTGTTTTTACGTAGATTATACACAGCGTTCCAACTTTTTAGAACTGGAGTTGTAATTTAAATTTCCACTCCTGCTGCCAGAAACCCCATGCAACATCACAGAGATGAAGGAAACAGTGTACGCAATTTAATTTCCACTCCAGCTGGCAAAAACCCCATTCCCTGCAAACATGCAGCCATTCCTCAAAGCAGTGGCAGAACTGGGATATGCCAACAGAAGAGGTTGGTGCTAAATAACACAACAATTACAAACAGTTACTACCTTGTCTTCTTTCAGTCTGTTTACTTGATCTTTCTTCTCCTTGGCACGAGCAGGCTTTGCTTTCTGATTATTTTTTGAAGGAGGGTTTGGGCCCCTGCCAGCAACACTTATGCGATTGTTATATACCCGATTTTCACTGAACTGGCAAGATGGTCTTTTCCTTGGCCCTGGTGACGGTCTAAAAAAAAAAAAAAAATGATATAAATATGAAGAAAAAACCCCCCCGAAAGAAATATATATACACTCACCAGCCACTTTATTAGGTACACCTGTTCAATTGCTTGGTAACACAAATTGCTAATCAGCCAACCACATGGCAGCAGCACATTGCATTAAGGCATGTAGACGTGGTGAAGACTACTTGCTGAAGTTCAAACAGAGCATCAGAATGGGGACAAAATGGGATTTAAGTGACATTGAACGTGATCGCACTGCTACCATCTTGAAGGCGGGCTGGCTGGGGAGACACAGGATGCAGAGACTGGAGTTCTGATATAACAAAACGTCTTGTTTTTATTTGCTCATTGTGAATGTGATTTTAAAGGGGGTTTGTTTGGCAATAAATTTGTTGGATGATACTGCACTATGGCGAGTATTTTCTTTACCCACATGTGCTAATCTGGATATGAGAGGATCTTCTCTGGAGTTTGTTTGGTGATATGCTGGATACACAGTAGTATGCTGAGCAATTACCAACACATGAGGATCGTCCTTTGAAGTCTGTTTGGTGAATGCTGGATATATACTGACAAGCTAGTTAATTACTAGCACATGGTGAGTGTGCATTTTGATGGGGTGTTTTTTGAGCACTGAATACCACATTGCTTATGAAGGAGGATCTCATTACTTCTTTTACTGAGGATCATGTTTATATGGACTTTTCTAAATGGACTATATTGAGATTCCCTATTTATTGATTTTTTTGTTTGCACTATTAATATGCACTTATTTGGTGGTGGTTATATTTAGTTGTGTGATTTGGTTTGCGCTATTTGTGATTTGTATATTTTTCACATTTTTATTATTTTTTTATTATTATTTTGAGTTTTTTAATAATAGCAGCATCCAGTGAGTGTATTTCCTCTCTATTACATTGGTGCAATGATGTTGGTATAATAGAAGTGTTGTATTTATTGGAACATTTCTTTGGCAACTAACTTTTTAGTGAGAGTTAGTGTATACATACATGCACAGGAACATTATCCATCTGAGCTCCAAAAGATGCTACTTTAACTGGCAATTGCAGAGTCATGTAATACGGTACATAAATTAAATTTGTTTTTATTTTCACACAAATAGAAATGTTTTGGTGGTATTTAATCACCACTGGGTGTTTTTTTTTTTGCAATATAAAATGAAAAAAGGCCAACATTTTGAAGAAAAAAAAAAAAAAAAAAAAAACACGATATTTTCTACTTTCGGTCATAAAACATATCCAATAAAATCACATTTCGTCATACATTTAGGCCAAAATGTATTCTGTATTTTTTTTTTTAATTTGAAAATTGATCAGTTGTTGTACTGACAGCCATCTCGCTTCTTTAGGCCCCAAAATACCAGGACAGTACAAACTCCCCCAAATGACACCTTTCTGGAAAAAAGACAGTCTGAGGTACTTAGTAAGAAGCATGGCAAGTTTTTTGTCACAATTTTTATAAGAATAAAGAAATTGAATACATTTTCTTTCACTTTTTTTTTATTCTTTTAATACATACTGCTACCAGTGCAGTACAGAGTGTGATTGGTGTGGCTGTGATCAGGGACACTGACCGGTGACAGTACTGTATATAAAAATAAAACAAATGAAATTTGTATCAGGAATGCGTGTGGTGGGAATAAAGACAACCTTCTGCTACAGCAAACACTTCTTATGTTTTTTCACTTCCTGTCTCAAAGCTTCTCTCTGCAACCACCATAATCCAACTTTCACAGTCCTGATTTGTATTCCACTGATCCCATTGTGCTAGCAAACATTTTAAATTACTAGTCAATTATTACTTTATGGATGTTAGAGAGGTACCTCAACTTTGTTTCAAACAAAAAGAAGCTACTCTTCTCTCACTAACCAACTGCCTTTCTGTAATACTTATTACAGCTCTTAGTTAACGTCCCCAGCGTTTTTCTTGGACTACTGAAACAATATTTTGCATGCTTTTACACTTCTAAAAAACTTGCCATTCTACAATTTGTCATCAAGGCTGCTGCAAAATGTATCTGGCTCTTCCAGCACTTACTTTTCTGCACCTAGTTGAGATGGCAAGAGTACAGGAATTCCGGCAACTCACCTACGCTCAGCTGGTACTGGTAAAGACCAAACTTCTCCATCCTGGGAAGGTAAATCATGGTGTGCTGCTTTCAGTGGAGAGCTGTCAAGCTTGAAACTTTCCAGAGTAGACATTATGTCCTTCACATGCTTAGCTTCCACACTGATCTCTTGCCAAACCTGCCAGAGAGCATTAAATAAGTTAAAAATCATCAGACCTAGTTTGTTATGATACTTTTGCTTTAAAGTGTAGGCTCCATTTAAAATAATCTTTGCATCTACCTCTCGCATACCCCATTCATCAAATATCAAAAAAGGTTGGACAGATCACACATGCAACCAATATGCCAATCTAATCTCCGATGCAACAGTCTGACTAAGGCCAGGCAATGTTCCCTTTCCAGGACCAAGCTTTTGGAATCCGGCACATAAACCAGCCTTACCAAACCAAAGCCAACCAGAGAGTAAAGACTTCAACTGTCATGTCAAAATATAATCTGAAAAATCAAATGGCTTAGGGATTTGCTACGGCCTTTATGAGGTGCATGTTAAATATGGGATCCAACAACATCATCCTCTGTAAATTTTGGGTTGCTTGAGGGAAGAACTTCAGAGCCATGCAAAAAAAAATTTCCAGCATTTAAGTTTAGCGTTTTTAAAAGATAACTTCAGGAGACCCTCCCAAATGCCCAGAATGCACTGACAAATAGTAAATTAACTATTTCAGACATTTTGTGAGAAATAGAGAGCAGAAGCTGGGAGAGCAGAATGTTTTGAGATTACCTGTATTTTCTGGTTGTATTCACTATCACTATGGATCCCATCATGAGCATAATGCAGCACGTTCTACCATTTTGTCCTGCACGCGAAACATGGAAATGACTGTGCTGGTACTAGGTCCATTTGAATACATGGAAAACGCTGTACATGCATTTTTGATGAAGAAAAAAAGGCACTGGACAGCATCTGGATTTGGACCAGCCCAAAATCGCATCTAAACACAAATGAGCATAAATGCGTGTACAAGCGTTTGGCTTTGAATTGCCAGTAAACTCTACTCCTGAATGCAATTTTTGTGCTTTCAAAAAAAAATGCCTGTAACCTCAACTGCCTGTAAACTACTGTAAACAACCATGTGTACATGGACACATAGGAGAACATAAAGGAGAGTTCAGGGGCTGCTGAAAAAAAAAAACAAAAAAAAAAACAAAAAAACGCACAAACTGCTCCTAAACTTCAGTTTAGCAGCTACAGTGTACATAAGCCCTTAGGCTTTAGAGACAGTTTAGGAGCTGCAAGAATTTCTGGCAAGTACTGGTTTTGCACTACATGTGGCAACACCAGTATTCTTCATATGTCTGGACTGTAGGGCAGGGTGGCAAAACTGAAGTCTTTTCTAAAAAAAAATTTCAAGCCTGGCTACATTTTTCAAAAACCTACATCAAGTCTGCCAAAAGCAAGTGGGAAATGTGTTATGCTCTGATAAGACCAAGATGGAAAAATATCATGCTGGATATCTACAGTATACGGATATAGACTAATGTGTTATGAACATTAGGATGCCCCATCGTTTGATGGAAATGAAAATTATCAAGCTACAGAGGACTGAATTCAAAGACACCCTGAAAATCAAAGTAAAAAAATTATGCAGCAGGCTAGTCCATTTTGCTGAAATGTAATTGTAGCAACTCAAAATGGTGCTCAGTAGTTTGTATGGCCCCAACGTGCTTGTATGCAAGCCTGACAATGTCGGGCATGCTCCTAATGAAACGACGGATGGTGTCCTGGGGTATTTCCTCCCAGATCTGGACCAGGGCATCACTGAGTTCTTGAACAGTCTGAGGTGCAACCCGGCAGCGGCGGATGGACAGAAACATGATATCTATTGGATTTAGGTCAGGCGAGCGTGGGGGCCATTCAATAGTATCACATCCTCCAGGAACTGTCTGCATATACTCACCACATGAGGGCGGGCATTGTCGTGCACCAGGAGGAACCTAGGACCCACTGCACCAGCGTAGGGTCTGACAATGGGTTCAAGGATTTCATCCTGATACCTAATGGCAGTCAGGGTACCATTGTCTAGCCTGTAGAGGTCTGTGCATCCCTCCATGGATATGCTGTGACGAACGCGGCGTCAGACCTCTGACCTTCTCACCAAACTCGTGACCAAAGGACCAGCCAATCTAAAACTGCGATGTCACGTGCGTAACAATGCCATGCCCAGCTGCACAAAGATTTTCCAGCTAATTGGACCACAATCGATGTACCGGCAGCCTGGGAGCGTTGTTACTGGGTCAGGTTAATTACGCAATTAACCCTTCACACTGCCACCACCTCCTTTTTGTACAGAGAAAGAGGAAACTTGGCAATATCAGCAACAACACTATGATGGTTGAGATAATCGTCTGTATAACACTGTCACCGCAGACCGGTTATACAGAGGGTTAAACAAACACAGTAACACTCTTTTAGAGGCAGGAATTCGTAAATTGCATTAAGAGACTTTAGAAAAAGTTCAACACTTTCAGAAAGCAAGATTTATTACTAAAAGATCAAAAGGGTGCAATAAAAATATTTACAGAAAAAAGATGTTCTCTGTATATTTATATATATATTGGTTACAACAACAGTACAGCAAAGAGGTAACAGAAAGGAGGTTAAAGGGTTAAAGTAAAAAAAATATTTAAAAAAAACATAATCTCCTACGCTTGAATAGAGAAACCTACCACTAAGCTGCTAACACCCCCCTTCAACCATAAAGTGTAAAACAAAAATAAATAATAAATGGTGCAGCGCTGAATAAATACTAAATCAATATACATTCAAACTAATTAAATAAACATAATTTAGTAAAAACTGTGTATTACTAATTAGTGCTCACACATATAATCAAAAATTATTTTCACCCCAACATTAAAATCATATTAAGTGAATAACATTCATGCATGTGTATAAAACACTCTGTGAAATAATACAAACTATGTATAATATATATATATATATATATATATATATATATATACACATATATACACACACACACACACACACACACACACCCACTGCAAAAATGTCCCAGCAAAGTAAATATAAATCCGTGCTCCACAGCAATGACTCGCGTGCAAATATTGTGAATCCATTGCCCACAACTCGTGAATCTAAAACCTTCTAAAGTGGCCCCTCACCTCCCAATAGTGACCACAAAGGCCAGCTCGCTTTTGGGTAAATAACTCTTTCCCAGGAACAATCTCGTCACCACTAGATGAATCCTCCTGGAAATCCACAGGCCTTTCTCCTCCTGAGTACTCCACACCCCTGGTACTTGTCTCAGTAGTTCACCCACACAGGATCATGATAAAACAGATAAAGATCCTCCATAGTGTAAATCAGTATTTATTAGCTCGATAAATCAAAGAAATCCTACTCACATGTCTCACAGTAACATCAGGCATTTCCCGATACTATGGGTGTATGTGCATGGTTCCGGGTGTACAAAGATGGCCCCCACGCCGGAAATGACGTCACCACGTACCGGAAGTCCTGTCACCGCGCACCAACGCGTTGCGTCACGATAATCACGTGACTTCTTCAGGGTATTTTTTGATTGTATATTGATTTAGTATTTATTCAGCGCTGCACCATTATTTAAAAGGGTTAAAGTACTTGCCAATCAGCCTTGGTTTTGTAGATCAAGTTTCAGAGCGAAAGGGCTGTCTCCCAAGTTGGTTCTGATGTTAAAAAGGGAGAATTCTTCAACTTAACTCTCTTAGGCCTGACAGCCCATTTTGTGGTTCCCTAGCAGGGGGTGTCTCTGAAGTCAAGGACCAATGCCCCGTTTAGGGAGGGAAGGTCTGGCCATAGACCTAAACAAGAGCCAAAATCTCTTATAGTTCATATTTTGGCTCATAACTTTTTCTATGCACAAGTGACATTCCACCCACGGGTAGATTACTATGCAGACGCATCTGAGGAACGGATAGATATGAAATATGAAATACATATTTGAAGGGTTCTAGAGATGTAATTTTCTGCTTTCCTAGGTATTCCAGTCAGGGAGTGTGACCTATCAAAACGGTTTGTCTTCTTGTGGGCAATCTGAAGACATGCCTGGTTTTTATGCAAGTCTCTCATATTCCAAGATATGAGACATAGGAGAAAAAAATGGATTTTAAAAGTGTTATCTGGTTCGTGCTCCTCTGGAAAGTCTTTGAACTCCTGGGAAGGCTTGCGTCATCTTTTACGATGTGCTCGATTGCACAGCTTTCTTAGACAGCCAGGCACTCAGCCCAGAGAGGTTGTATAGTTCTGGGCACCCCTCTGGGCTCTGGCCTGCCTGTGACACTTCCAACACCCACACCGACCAGATGTCACTGTGGCTCTCAGAGAGGGAGGGGGAGAATGAGGGGAGACATGGAGAATTCTTAACAAAATGGAGGACCGTGTCCGTCTCTGTGTGTACGCTTGCTACATATGCCTCCCAAGACCATCACTGATCCACCATCGAAACAGTCATGCTGAATGATGTTACAGGCAGCATAACCTTCTCCACAGCTTCTCCAGACCTTTTAACATCTGTCACATGTGTGCAGGGTGAACCTGCTCTCATCTGTGAAAAGCACAGGGTGCCAGTGGTCGACCTGCCAATTCTGGTGTTCAATGGCAAATGCCAATCGACCTCTATCGTGTCAGGCAATAAGCACAGGGGCTACTAGAGGACGTTGGGCCCTCAGGCCACCCTTATGAAGGCTGTTTCTGATTGTTTGGTCAGAGACATTCACAACAGTGGCCTGCTGGAGGTAATTTTGTAGGGCTCTGGCAGTGCTTATCCTGTTCCTCCTTGCACAAAAGGAGCAAATAACGGTACGGCTGATGGGTTAAGAACCTTCTACAGCCCCATCCAGCTCTCCTAGAGTAACTGCCTGTCTCCTGGAATCTCCTCCATGCTCTTGAGACTGTGCTGGGAGACACAACAAACCTTCTGGCAATTGCACGTATTGATGTGCCATCCTGAAGGAGTTGGAGTGCCTGTGCAACTCTGTAGGGTCCAGGTATCACCTCATGCTACCAGTAGTGACACTGTCTCTAGCCAAATGCAAAACTATTGAAAAACAGTCAGAAAGACAAGTAGGGGAAAAAACATGTCAGTGGCCTCCACCTGTAAAGCATTCCTATTTTGG